CCTATGGAATCAAGTCAAATTTGAGTCAAATCTGACCCCGCGATCGCACATGCCCCAAACACTGCTGACCTGCTCCCGAACACCAGCCCTGCCATCTACTGTCAAGAATGAAAGTCTACCGTGTCGAAGAGAGTACTTGTTACATCAGTGATTCTCCTCGCATCTCACCCGGCCTGTCTCACAGTTTCTCATCAGTAACCCCGTTCCTTGCCCCCGGCTGACCAACTTCTTTCATTTGAAGTCTTCCAATTTTATTTAAACCTGCGTGGAGATGATATCTTCTAATATTCTTGTCCAATGATTACCCCTGGTGTTTGCATCCTGTTAAAACGTTATTACTTGCACCGTGCCTCCAGCGGTTCTACTGAGGAGCTGACTATTATCTTTATTTTCTCAAACCCAGAAGGAAAATCTATCTATGTGGGCATGCGTTTGGAAACTAATAATTACAACATGCATCGCTTATTCAGACGTTTCCTAACGAGATAAAAGAATAAGTATATTTCATTATCACTGCGCACAAGGAATAGTTAACAGAATCCAATTCTCTGGCGGGCAGTGGGGCGAAGTTTTGTTTTAACCTCCTCTGACCATATTGCTGTTTAGTGATAAATAACGGTGCACTTTGTACAATATATAGCCAAGAGGGAATTTTGGCTGTGCTTTACGAGTTCTGCAGTTCTTCAGTAATTTGCAGTCTGAGATAGGAAGGGCCGAGGGCCATGCACAGAGTGATCGGTTGGTGAGCACGGTCAGAAGCGGCGCCTGAAGCTAGTGGTATGTGCAGCCGAACCCAAGAGGGTTGACTGTACGCACATTAAATTACTGAGTCGGACCAATTTTTTGAGAGGTAGGTACCGAGTTTTGTTCTCGTACACATAGGTTGCGGGGGTGGGTGGCTTGGAACCGACTCTTAGGAAGCTAAAAGTCGGAATCATGGCAGATGCGCAAAGTACACTAAGTGCACGTATAAATCGGAAATGTCAGACCTCAATAACTTGTTTTCGGTTGGATATATTGGAAATGTAGAGAGAGATTGTATGAAGTGATTCAATTAGGTATTACACACAGTCATACACTTCCTGAATTCCTCCACGTACCGCCCGCGTACCTCCACCTAGCGCGTGCACCCTCGGACTTAACCTCCCTGTCAATCAAGTAACCAAATATCAACTGTCACAGAGGCCGTCTTTGCTGAACAGGAATACACACAAACCCTCAGACCAACCCACCTAAAACAATACCTCCGTATTCGGAGGTAACACATCTGAACGGTATGAGCCGCGCTTTATTTTCTCAGATTCCTGCGACATCCTTTATTCAAGCAATCCATCGCTGGCGCCAGCTAGCTTCTTCAGAAACGACAGACAAGACAAGATTTAACCTATCAATATACTGCATGGCCTTGTCTTATTTGCTGCAAGTTCGACTTCAGTTGATTTGTAGTTGGAATACAAAAAAGATTTTACTATCATAAAAGTGACGTTTATCCTAACAATAAAAGGTTTCGCTGAAACTCAGTTAAACCTTACAGGGCATGTGATTTCCCCTCGGAGCAAATTAGAGTTATTTTTCTTTTGTTTTCAATAAAGGGCCGGATTCTCTGGTTGGGAGCAAGCCCCCTTTTACACCGCTGAGCGACAGCACAATGACCAAAATTTGATTTTTGTGACTCTTGATTTCATAATTGGAATATGATGCATGTAAAAGTATGATGGCAAAACATGCAAACTCCCACCCAAAAATCTATGAACTTGTTGAGCGATCTGTCAAATATTTGTTTGCTGATCGGTCTTCCAGCGGTCGCAGCCTCAAGTGGAGAAAGGGTGTAATTGAGGCAATGAAAGTATCCATACTTTATAACGGGATTTTGTACATATTGAGTGACCTCCCAAAGCTGAAGGTCAGGTGAAACATTTACCGTCAAAAGTGTATGGATTTGCTGACTTCAGATATGGCGATACAGCGAAGTGAAACTGGCAAAATCGATTTTGACTCTCAAGCCTTGTATACGACGATAACCTTTATCTTTCACGCCCATGCATGGTAGGGTCTTTAGATCGATCAACCCCGGGAATTTTCAAAGGCAACAGTCTTATTCATCCCTCTATTTAATACTCCTTATTCATTCCCCTTTGCTATGGGATGAAAAGAAATATACGGTGTTTATTGTGTCCCCTGTCGTGACGCTTCTGATTCTGGTCGCGAGAAAAATGTATGACGGCACATTCCTCCAGAGGGCGGCATGCTGCCACGTGAAGGCCGAATGACGTAAAAGGTGGTGCGAGGATGACACCCTGTGGTGTTTGTGTTTTACAGTTTGCTCTGTAAATGGGAAAAGGTGAAAAGTGTGGCTGTTTGGGCCATTTTCAACACTTTAGGGTCATGGACACTTGTTAGTAATAATCTGTCAAATATTTCACATAAAAATACAACAAAGTTTTGCCTCCGCTGGGAGGTTATATTTTGGTCGTGTTAGTGTCTGTGTCTGTGTGTGCATCCTTCCGACCGTAAACACAATAACGCAAGAATGCCTGAGTGGATTGCCTTGATATTTGATCGGTGGGTAGATCTTGATGAGACCTCGAAAATATTTGATTTTGGGTACTCTAGTGTCTTGTTATAGTACAGAAGTGACTCATTTGATCTGATATGGTAAAGGTCACCAAACTGGAGTGCTAGCTGTTGGGCTGACAACGAAGTGACTGAAGTTTGGGCCTGCTAGCAGGTTCCTTTCCTGGAAGTGCAGGGGCGCTTTCGTCGGAAATTTGAATAAGCAAAATCAGGATAGTGTAATACTATAGATGATATCAAATAAAAACCCATACCCAATGATAATAGGGTCATAGTCATCTTTATATAATTCATTGTGTGAAAAGTTTTTTGAAGTACAAATAATGCCAATTAGAACATTACTTACATACAGAAGATCGAAAATTGCTGTTGGAGGTATGGGATCATTGACTTCTAGCTAAAAATAAAGAAAGTGAAATCATTATGCTTATACCCGCCAAATTAGGCTTATTTCGTTCTAGGTGTGATGATTCTCCTGTTGGTAATACCGGTTGGGAAGCTTTTGTTTTCCATTTAAAGGTTAAAACCGTAAAAGGGTTTTCTACTCTTGCAAAGCAGCAACGTCCTACCACTCATCACAGCTACAGTCACCTGGGACAGGCTGAGAGCGGCTTCCATCAAACAGTTTGTAATGATTCTGTTCTTATGCGAAGAAAAGCGCTGGCGCCGTCGCAGTCTATTTTCTACTTTCCATATATCCGTCTTCAAAAACCCCGTGTGATAAGGAATGGAAACCGGCGGCAATCCCGGGGATTACTGCGCACACATGAAGGATTACAGTCGCAGGATCCCTATAATCAAAGAAGCGGCAATGGTGTTTCTAACACTTGATAAATCCTCTCAAACTTCTCAAGGTAACCGTAAGGCGCCTGCTTTCTCACAAATTTTGCACATCAAAGATTCGGGACAACAGCCGACAAGCTATGCGATACGAGACGGTTGGTTGCCTCCCGGAGGCTATTTAGTGTCAGAAAGTTTGCCTGACTGCTTACAGTAACATAAATCGAAGGGGCGCGTCGGTAGAATGCACTGTGGCTGTGCCAAACCCGGATATTTTACGGTTTTCTTAGGATGTATATGGTCAATGGTGCAAAATCTTGTCCTTTGCAGTATATCTTCCAACACAACGTTTGAAAACTACAGTCGGGATACCATATATACGCGAATGCGGCCTCAAACGAGACGTTCTGCCGAAGTGCTATACACAATACATTAAAGGGTCCGCGCAGGCGCAGTTCGTTCTACGTACAACGACAAGAACTGTTTGAACGAGTTACGATCATTGCATCAATAGATGTTAATGCCACCATAAAAATATTTTCTCAACTGAGAATCTAGCGTGTTACTGTAAGGCACTGTAGGTTTGTTAAGCAGAAATAACTGCCAGTGGATTTATCTTTTAGAAGTGTATCAGTTTTATTAGAGTCTATTTACTATGCTTATATAATCTTGCTGCAAGATATGCTGTCTAGCCATAAACATCCGGCCCTAAAATAACTTCACAAACATGGGGTTAAAACAGCTGTATATTTTTTGCTCAAGCCAACTTGCATTAGTAGGGAACACAGCTCTCTTCTGTAATCTACACTACAGCATCTGGTAATCATCGATCATATTGATATGAATACAAGACCTTATTACGTATTATGTACCATTAGCCGAACAGTTTGATACAGCGGAAAAAACTTAGAACTGTTTCGTCTTTAATGAATTAACATATTCCTTTGTGGCTTAGATAAATCTTATTTGAATACACGCTTCCTGCTGATCTTCAAAGGCGCCGATCAGTCAAAGGAAAACATAACATCATATTTCATGTTCCTCCTGCCTAAGTAGCAATCTTTATACAATACGTTCTTGTCAGCATCTTTAATAAGGAACATATCTATCATAGTCTCTGTTAATCTCATGACGAATACTAGTACAAAGTCCTTTGTGGCCAAGAGCACATTTCCATTTTCCCATTTCTTTTCGAAATCCTCCCGAGCTGTTGTGTATTGAACACGGTGCAATATAAATTGCCTTTGCACTCAGGTTGGTTGTAATGAAGAAACAAAAACACAGGGGCTTTAGTATCAAACTTTGATTTGACCTGACTTTGTGGTTGCTTTCATTTCATTGACTTGTCTCTTTTGTAAATCAAGTTGCTAGACATACACACGTCGCCGGCTTCAATCTTACAATTTGAAAAGCACATAATGGACTAACATGAAATTAAAGCACAGGTTGTATGTTTTGGATCCGCCTAAGGAGTCTATGGCGTTCAAGATATTTAGATCTAGAGTATGCATATAAATCATATTATATTAAAGTACCAGTATAAATGCCACTAGAGATTGTGAATTTGCAAAGATAAGATAATTGCAAATCCATGGATGAACCAAACCACTTGTGTAATACCTTATCGTCCCTGTCATTCCTCACAGATGTCACACCGCCGTACTTCGGAGACACCTGTCCAGGTGACATGAACCTGAGGAACGAGAAGTGTGAGAACAAGGTTCTTCTGAACTTCACCGTGCCGACAGCCGTGGACAACTCCGGGTATGTGAAGGTGGACGGACCGGAGACCAAGCCGCCCATCTACCTGGCCGGGGGACAGTACACCTGGATATACACGGCCAGTGACGATGCTAAAAATGAAGCAAGATGCCAAATAGCAATAGGAGTGCAAGGTGTGTATACAGTGGGCGTCTGTATGACTCAACATGAATTCTGTGTAGAAAAAAACCCCAAGAAATCGGAGACTTCAGACTTCTGAGAAGTATTTATCATGAGTTTTTCGTGACCCTCAAGTTCGAAGTAGAAGTAAAAACATGACATGTTAAAATAAAGTTCAACCATTTTCCATGCAGCAAAATATTCCTGACATTCTGTCATAAGACCTTTGTTATTGTTGTGACATGTGAGTACCAAGTGACTAACTCACAAATTATACATTTTGCTTTAACGTTATTGCTATAAATTATTTTATCTAATAATTGTCCACTTCTAAACTCTTCGCCCACGATGTACATAAATTGACGGGCGTATGAATAAACACGACATCACAACATATATTTTTATCAACTGTTCACTACAGTTGTAAAGTGCCCGACGATTAAGGTGCCTCACAACGTTGAGGTGACGGGGAAGAGCTGCGGCTCCCTGTACGGCTCCGAGGTGCAGTTTGTCTGTAAGGAGGGCTTCAAGTTGATGGGCTCAGGCATCCGGACATGCGGACCAAATGGAGAGTGGGAAGGCGGGGACGTGCAGTGCATCGGTAAGTGGCTCAGCGTATCGTGGCTTTTAGCCTGGGTGTGAAGTACTCCGACGAACCCGTTGTGGGCAGCCACTAATTGCGCCTTTCAAAGGCACTAGGGCTTGAGACCACATGTATGAATGGATGGATGGATATCACCCTTCAACACGATATCTCAGATGCTGTTAGTGATAGCAAACTGCTAGGATTGCGTGTGAAGTGCAAAGTTGGAGCTATCGAGGTGACACTTGAAAGCTTAGTGGACTTTCTGTTTAAACTTAAAAGGCGAGGTAGAGAATCTGATAGTTCAACTGTTGCAAGAAAGCATCAAAGCATTCTAGGCAGTCACTCTCCATATATTATGGAGGATGTAGTTAAAGTTCGCTTTTCTTTTACTGTGATTTAACCAAGAGTTTGCTAAAACCTTCACTTCTAACACCACTGGCTACCCTCACATGTCTGATGGAGATACCAGCGTCATGCCGGGCAGGCTGTTTTTTCTAAGAACTGACTTGCACGTCGAGGGTGAGAGGCTGTTGGGAAGATATCATGCAAAATTATGCCAAATTCGAACACGAATGATATAGTGTGCAGGATGCATTGAAATGTGACAAAGGGGCTAAAATAAAAGAGTTGTTCACATGTACACATGAACTGCTCATGATCGTATCCGAATCACCCTGATGACATATTTCTCCAAACTCTAGTTATATTGTTATAGTTTAATACACGTTGAATCTGATTGCCATGATGTCAAATAACTTGCTATTCACCGACTACTTTGGTACCAAAAATGTTCCAGTTTTACAGAAAAGGAAAAAAAAACTATCCTGAAAGCACAGCTATCATGATGTTGAGGAAAACTGCCCTATACGATGGATGTATGCTGAGAATGCCTACAGCATCTAATCAAATAGGCTGGCATCTGTTCCTGTACCCTTTTTGAATTTGATGGGACTTTCTAACCGCTCTTTATCCTTTGATGAATATAAGGGTAGCAAAACGTTGACAGTACGTTTAGCTTGATTTATTTGATACTCACCTCGAAGTCAATACATGGAAAGATAGCCACGTCCGCTTCCAATAACACCAACTCGGCAATACCAAACCAGTTCCATTAAGTGTTTCAATGCGTGCATGGAGTTTAAAGTGTAGGCAAGATTTTTGGAAATATTACATCGTACATCATGGCGCTAGGGGCGAGTCTGCATGGATTTTCGTCCTCTCTGCCCCATTAGAAAAAAGATCGACTCTTGATTCTTCCGGGATAACTTTGGCGTTTCTATTGATCCATTGTTGGGGAGTCAATATCAGCCCGGGTACGGGGGGATGGTTGATATGGGCTCCCCACAGTTCAGTCCCCGGGGAGCAGGGGTGGAGGTGAAAGGTGGAATTGAATCTATTCAACGTGCTGACTTATGAAGGTGCGAATCTCCTGAGGAGATGAGTTTGCAGACGCGTCTCTAAGAGCCATTATGACTTTTCACAAGGTTTTACGTTAGGAGAGAGACGCTCTGCTAATTATGCCCTTGAGAGGGCAGCTGGGTTATTTTAGGAGTAAACCATGGAGAAAATTAAGCAGAGATATGCTGGGATGGTCCAATAAGGAGGTCTTGTACTGACAGCTTGGCTACATGGGCATGAACAAGGGAAGAAGTTTGAATTTGTGAAAATGTAGTCTTGGATCCCAGGTCATTTACTCCTGAAGTTTAAATTGGGTAATGTGAGGAGTGGTCCGACTAGGTCCACCGCACATCAATCAGTTTCAGGGATATGTCTTCTGCCCGGATAGATGATACGGGTATTGTAGCTGCCAGAGATCTTGTCATTCATCAATGAGTTCTTTACGTGCAGAAAAATTGCAATGTTCAGGAAGGTCAAGGCATCGGGGCAGAGATACCAATAGCGTGCCGGGAGACCTCATCTTTATGCCTGTCTTGCGTGTCAGAAATTCATAAAGCTACAGCTGGAGGAGTAAGCAGAACAAGCTCAGGCCTTGGGGACAGGCAGTCGCTCATCAAATGTGATGTACAGGATTATTGTGTTTCGATTGATGTGCACTTCACTTTGCGTCTGGCTGCCACGGTGTGCTCTCATGACATTACAAGAATACAAATCACCTCAGACCAACTTTAACTTGCCCAAACTTTAGTTTCCCTTGTCTAAGTGTACGACGAGTTACTAATTCCGTCTCAACACAAAAATGATGAAAGATAAGTATTTGGGAATAATTTGGGAAAGCAAATGGGAGAATGGTACAAGAATGGTCATGACGTAATGAGGGAGGACTAGTGACGGACTACATGTACATGACACACAGTGTGCATGTTCCTGTCTGTTGAGTCAGAGTGACAAACCCCCTGTATACGTCGAAGCGCTTTGGATTTAAAGAGAACATCGCAACTACGGAGTATATGCTATATAGTGGATTGCTTTGGTAACAGTGATTCAGTAGTCGTGGCTGAGTGAAAGCAACAGATGCCTCACAATAGCACTGTAGAAAGGAAGCTAACATGATTAAGCCGTAAAATGGAATTATCTATACATCATGTGTACAATATGTTTTTATTGATTGACGTTATCATATTGATTTACGTGATTTGTCATTGGAGAATTCGTTTGGTACACTTTTTTTTCAGAAGCTTAGCTTTTTTTTTCATTTTTCTACTTGTTTTGTATGTTTATGTTTTCTGTCTGGGGTTTTCCTTTATGTACTACTGTTAGCCCAACTTGGAGACGGCACGGTGAGACTGCACAAGCGCCCGGGAAAACCGCGCGACTTGCACATCGTAGAGAAGGGTCCGAGGATGGTCAAACTGTCCTGGCTGCCTCCTGCGGCTTCTAAAGGCGCCAGGAGAACCAAACTCGCCTACAGGGTGCAGTTCCGAAGCGAGAGATTACGAATCACGTGGACGGATCTGTTCAAAGAGCTTTTAATCAGCGGCACCAGGATCACCCTGCCCCTCTCGCCGTGGGTGGATTACACTTTCAGGGTCATCGCGGCGGACAGGAGCGGGGACAGCGAGCCCAGCGAACCGTCCGAGCTGTACGACACCCCGCCGGCACGTGAGTTAATTAGCGCGCTCGCAAAAGATACCCACCGCACGCGTCAGTCGCTTTAACCTCTACGGCATCAGAACTGGAATGGTAAGCATGTCATATTTATCGTTGCATTGGTCATTTTTTAAAAAAACTTGATGCACGCTTAAACCAATTTTAGAGCAAGGAAATGTTGGTAGCGTCCCAAACAAAACGAGAACGTAATAAAAAAATGTCAAAAATTTGCTCTTGTCAGTCCCTGCCCTACACATATATTGAATTAGATACCCCAGTGAGAATGAACTTTCCCGATACCTAATTTTGTGAAACCCCAAAGACACAGCCTGGCGTCCTGGGACCGAGAGTATCGACCTGAAAGTTGGATGCTTGTCCTCAAGTAATTGCTTTTCCCACGCCTCTCTTGATGCGGCACGGTGTATTTTTGTGGAATCATCCTTCTAGAACGAAGGGAAAAGACCTCGTGATAGCAAATTCGATTATGTTGGCAACGTTACAACAACCCCACCGAGACCCGTGTTATGTATGACATCATTGACTATTTTTACCCTGCTAGCCCCGGGACAGATTCCGGAGAGGATTAAGGTGGCCGGACTGTCGGCTACAAGCTTCAGGGTTTCATGGAGAGTAAGTATCGATCAACTGCTGCAGTAAGATTGTATCAGAGAGTTAGACTATTTAACAAATGACGAACATTAGTAAAACTCTGTCGTAAACGATTGATTATTCGGGCACGAGTTTTGTTGACTGTGATGTGAAGGAAAAGTTGGACCGGGTTGTACCAAAGCTACTTCGTGAATATCCAATATGATGAGGCAATGATTTCTATCTACCGCATGGTCCGATGGGAGAGACATTAGTAATGATAAGAAAATTGAAATTAACCTTTGGGGAGTAAAGAACGAACTTCTGTTGATCAAGTAATAATTTAATTAATTAATTAATAAGAGCGTAATGTTGCCCGTGAATGCACATATGAATTAGAATAGAGTAAAAAAAACAAGTTGTATTGTGAAAACATGGTAGATTGCCATCAACATGAAATCTCACTATTTGACTTCAGAGAGGGCAATGACTCCAGGCTACTGTCCGAATGATTGTGTCTAATCCTGTTATATTTAGAACGTTATCATCATATTATTTACAATGACCGTTATCATCATCATTTATTAGTATGATTATCATATTAATGATAATCATGATTTATACCTACTCCAGACCTTACCCCTTGTCGATCACAATGGACCAGACCTTCGGTACCTTGTATCATGGCGACTTCAGAACGAGACGTGTTGGAAACTTAACCTATGGAAGACAGCGACAGTTGGAGGGTCTATGTCATCTTACGTCGTGCGAAACGTCACGTCCGGTCTGCTGTATGAGGTGACTGTCCAGGCTGCCAACTCTAAGGGACAGGGACCGGTATCGGCACCGCGTCATGGACAGTCATTGCCAGGTATGCTCATCATCTGCAACTAAAACTGGCCTAAAGTGGAATGATTTCATTAACATCTTTCAGAAGGAGGATCCACAAATTGTGCTCAGCAGTAACCTGAGCCCGAACTTGTTCTGATGCTGTATTACTAATAATTATAAGAAGTTTACAGGAAATTTGTGACCAGAATGATTGATAGACCATTTACTATTTGTTGATGTGCCTGGAATACTCAATAAATCTTACGTTTCTGTACCAATCTTTCTCCACACAGCTCTCAAGCGTGCTCCAGTTTTGATCACACCAAAGAGAGAATTTAACGCCAGCATATCAAGTACAGTTGAACTGACCTGTGATGCTGTGGGTGCCGTCAGGTCCAGGCGATTATGGTTTAATGAAGCACGAATTGTCCCCACCAAACTGATACAAGGCACGGGGTCGCTACTCCTGGATAAAGTACATTTTAAGGACGAGGGATGTTACAAGTGCTACGCCGAAAATGACCGTGGCTCTACTGAAGGATGCCGTTGCCTGCGGGTCTACGGTTCGAGAAACATTACAACGACTCAGACAAGCATTACCCAGCCGCTCAGTAAAATACATTCACTGTTTGTCTGCCGTATGCCTCCTACTAGTCACTAGCTAGAAATAAATGTTACTGTTATGTAACCTATGTTCTAACCATAGTAGTACACTAGTATCAGCTAGGATGCACTGCTGATGGTTGTTTGACTGGTAACTGTTGAATGTAAGTATAGGTGTGCCCGCTGTTTTAAAACATGTCGGTCCTAAACAGATGCTGGCTTTATATCGCCTTTGTGTGTAATTATGAACTATGTCTATCAGACGGTTATTTCAATAAACAGTAAACCGACTAATCACTCAAATTAACATGCTTGTCTGTCACTTCACGATAACTATTCTGACATGCCTTCCCTTAACTCCTAACGAGTGTACGGGCACTTGCCACGTTCCATATTCAGTCCCATGGCGGCCTTCCATCACTGCTCAGTCCTCGGCGCTCTGCTCACATGTTGTCTGTAGATAAGACCTTTCAGGGTGTTTGGAATTGTTCAGGTATGTTATCTGTGGTTCATGCGCTCTCCCGGTACCGACGTTTATCTTCGTTTTCTCTAACAAGGCTGAGCAATTTCTTTATCTCTACTGAACACACGTTCTGACGATCACTGGTCACATTAACATTGCAGCATGCTTCAGCAGAGGGTGGTGACTGCATTAATGAAATGTAAGCACCGCACTTCTTCATCAACTCAGTATGAGACGGCGCTTCCAGGTCTGTGTTTGAGGTCTGTGTAAAAGGCAAAAGTTTAACTTCCCGCACATTTGCAGACTTTTTGCGCAGTTTGGACAAACTCAGCAAGTACAGCAAATCTTTCACGCTCAGCCTGTTAGAACAGCTTGGCATAAAATCGATATCCTAGCTTTTCTACTACCGTAGCAGTAGTTACCAACGCTCCTGTCCATTATGAAGCAAAATACTTCGTGAATATGGCGTTCAAGTATTTTAGAGCAAGCGGTATTTTTTTCTTATTTTGTTTCAGGTTTCTATGTATCATAAGCAACAAGGTCTCTAAGAAATAACGTTTAATTGTCACCATATAGGCCATTTGGAACTGTACATTTGAGTTAATAACGAAGCAATGCTGTCTTGAAATCAGAGAAATTAAAAATACAAGTTTTAGAGGAATATTATACCGTACATATAAATCATTTGTACAGGAGCCCCCTACACGCCCTTCAAACTGGAGCTGAGCGACAAGCGTGCGACCAGCGTCATCCTGTCCTGGACACCCTGGCCGTCCGACCACCGGCCCAGCGAACACTTCATCGTCCAGTATGAAACAACGTTCGAACCCAGCAAATGGAGAGAGATGATTGGCTTCGTACCCGGAAATGCCACCAAGTCTCTCCTGGAGCTCTCTCCGTTCGTGAACTACCGTTTCCGGGTGATCGCGGTGAACTGGGTGGGGCGGAGTGATCCCAGCGACATCTCCGAGAGCTACCACACTCCGCCCTCAGGTACGGACTGGGGATATTACACTCCATATACACATTAATATACAGCAATGAGAAATACCCTGTTTACTTGTATACAAGATACGTCAGTGCACCTTGCCATACAAATACATTGTGCCCAGCACAATTGTCGTGTAATAGAGTTATATTATATTATATCTAATGTTATATCTGATGTTATATTAATGTTATATCTAATATTATATCTAATATTATATTATATTATATTATATTATATCATATCATATTATATATAATGTATTCCTCTTCCCAGCGCCTGAAGTGTTTCCTAAGGAGATCCAGGCCCAGGGGATCTACAACAGAGACCTGATCGTCAGGTGGGAGGTAAGTGATGAATGTCTCTGTCTCATTGTACTATGATGGATTTGTCAGGTTCATGGGTGTTAAACGTGTTCAGAGTAGCCCTAGCTACTTTCTGTCACACTGAAAGGGAGTATAGAGTCTCTCCATTTCTCTAGTTTCGGCACTTTTATTTTATCAAGTCTTATGATACCATTATTTTCAATGATTTGACGGACTCCAATTCATGTTGACTTAATTGTTTGCTACCCGCACCCCTCAGTCCTTTTTAAGTGAAATGACTATATCAAGTGCATGCCTTAAACCCTGTGATATCGAGGTTAGAAACCAAGATAGATTCGTGCCGTAATGCTCTTTGTCCCCTGCGGTGTATTCCAGCCCCTGGGTTGGTACGAGCGGAACGGTCCAGGCGTCCAGTACAAAATCTTCTGGCGGATCCTGTACTGTAACGCCGAGCTGCTGGGGGACTGGGAGAGCTCCATCGTGCAGGGAGAGGAGAAGTCCTCTTACGTCATCCTCAACCTCATCAGAGATTTGCCGTATCAGGTTCAGCTGCAAGTTCTCAACAACCAGGGCGCAGGACCAATCAGCTACCCGCCTGTTCTCGGACATGCTGGCGACCAAGGTTAATAAATCGACTAATTACACTTGGAATGTTGTATCACCCTAACTAAAACACTGTTTTCATGTCGAAATACCGACTGTAAAAATTCTTATTAATTGATAATAAATTCATCGATACTTAGATGAATATATGTGATTGTATTATTCAATCATCTTCGAACTCATGAATGCATGAGAATTTCTGACTTTAACAATTAACAGTGGTGTTGGTTAAGTTAAGGTTAAGGAGCTCGTTGAACTCTTGTTATTTAATTTGTTTAATCCTATAATCTACCAGTAATAAGTGTACAATTGTACTAATGGCCATTGTACTAAAATATATGTTATTGTTTTGTCTCAAAACACAACTCTCCATGTATGCCTGGTCAAGAAGTAGGTCCGGGAATATGCAGTAGCTAATATAACAGAAAACCCAATTTCAAACATTACCTTCATTAATATTGTGATACTTTTTTCTATATCTGTTAATTCGTCTTAACTCAGATACATCTGTGGTTGGTACGATAGACATGCGTCAAACTTAAATCATATTCTGTTGATAGCTTCTTCACAATCCCTGACCTAATCATTTAACCAACTACGTTTACCCTGTATCCGACTAACATGTATACTCAGAAGCGCCACACTGTGATTCTGCTTACTAATGCACGTTGTCTTTTCTCATTCTCATGTAACCCTATTGATTACTGATAACTGTAAATAGCCATGTTTATGACCACAAGGACATGTGCTTCTAGCTGGTCGGCCGGGGACCAGACCTCCTTGTGCAACCTTCGAAGCCACGCTCCCCCCTCGCATCACATCAGACAGCGACGGCTCCTTAACACCGGGGGAAAATGTACCCTGGATGTCGTCTGCTTCTACATTCCCCGATCTAAAATATGGTGAGAACGAGTCATGCGATCAAAGATTATTAGGGAACTATGGATTGTCTTTTTGAAGTTTATGTTTTGATTTTGTTTTCTTGTATTTTGTGTTCCACAGGTATACTTGAGTTATTTTGTTTTGTTGTTGTTATGTTGTTCTTCTTTCCATCATATTTCACCCCCTGCCTAAAGCATATCCCACCGACCCCAGCATTACCGACGTGTCAGCCAGGGGCGTACTGGACCAGTCAAACAATTCTGTATTTACCCCAACTTCGCTTGTTTGGGTGGATACAGTAACTCATGGTGTAGGTAAGATCAGAGAAGCAATATGTTTTTTTTTATTATGTGTGAATCTTTTATTGTGTTCTTCATTTTGCTATGCTGTACATCTACACATCGGTTGGCGTGTATGCTACATGTCAGCGAAGGCGTTAATATTAACTCTTTTCTGGCCTGGCCTGGTCTGTGCTTAGATGTCTATGAAATGATTCATTCATTATATGCACACCTTTTTTTTCAAGAAATGAATTTATTTTTATTCTTTCTCTGTCTTTGTTCTCTGTCAGGATTTGATATCGTCAACTTCTTCGAAGATTATTCCGGTATCGTGGGAACGAGATTACTCATCACGTGTATAGCCCGTGGCCCAAGGCGAATGCACTTTAAGTGGTTTAAAGGCGAGTACCGGATCATGGCCTCTGATTGGACGAGGATCAGTGTGTCACCAAAAGTCATCAGGAATGACGGCGATCTGGAGTCTGTGCTGGAGATCAACCCAACCACTCCTCTGGACCGAGGTGGGCGTTAGGTGGAAAATGGGTTGTAAATGCGAGAATTTCACACTTGTTCCAGTCCAGTACATAGCCATGGCGGCTAGGGAAACGCTTTTTACATATATGCTATAGGAAGCCAGTGTCTATTTCATATCATAGCTAGCTGTTTAGCTACAAAACAGTCATACTGGTAATTTCTTGTCATGTACACCTACAACAAGAAGATGTTTGCTATTGGCTAAATAACCACCTCTGCGATAGTAGAGATCCAAACAGTCCGTACCGTGTAGGCTCAACATTACCCTGCTTTACATAACTGTTTGACGGGTATTCATTCCACAAAACATGTAAGTTGTATTCTCCTGGACCAACAACTATCATTCTGCCTATTAATTCTAGGTACATACAGATGTGCAGTTTCTGATCAGGGCGTTGAGAGGAGCTGTTCTCTGAACATCACTGTCCTGACCAAACCGTCCGTCCAACTGGACCCAGTCACTGCCACGGTCTTAGTCAGCTCTCCGGTCAAACTGACATGCACCGTCCGATCGCCAGGGGGCGTGGAGCCACAAGTCAAGTGGTTTATAGGTGAAATATTTTAAGTTGATACCATTGTTAGTATACTTGTATTTGATGGGCTTGGGGTAAAGTCAGTGAAGGCTGATTGAAAAGCATTTCTTTTTCCTACACAGGAAAAGACCGTGTGACGGACCTGAGAGCTATCTCGAACCTGGGAAACGGCATGTACCGCCTGACCGTGCTGGGCACCGTGGAGGGCACCAAGTACACCTGTATGGCGTCTAACGCAGCGGGAACCACCATCGCGGAGAGCATCGTCACTGTAGTACGGAAAGGTAGCAATTACGTCAAAACTGTAATGTTTCCCGTGTCCTCTGCTAAGTAGTGAGCACTATCGTTTTCACCCGTTGAATAACACAGATACCGCTTTTCAATTTCAACTGGGATCCGAGAGTACATAGGTACCATCTAGCGACTAAATGTATGCCTGTAGTCCTGACAAACCGTTTTTTATTTTATTATCAAGGCGTTTAAAGTACTCAATGCGTTTAAAGTACTCAAACGCATCATAGTATAGGAAATCAGAGCTCCACGCTCTCTCATTTTCAAATGTTTCATATATCCATGTTATTCCAGATGCGCATGACGTCTGTGGCCAGGAGACCTTCCAGAACGTGGAGTGGGGGATGACCCAGGCTGGCGGGGTGTACTATCAACTCTGTCCGGGAGGGAGCACGGGTAGGTCTGCACAACTCTACAGGGTAGCTATATCGCTAATGCGTTAGCTGGGACAGGCAGTACTGTAAAGGTCATATCATTCTCACTGTAGTATCTTCTAAAGGGTATATATGGATGGTCAAATTTGTTCAGAATGTTCTCGTTTCTCTCAAGTAGTCTATTTTGACAGCCATCGTTGCTAACTGGTTGTTACAGTTCACGAGGTGAAATAGTGATAATAAGCAGGGATTTACGTTTCTCATTGCATGCAGGTTATGCGACGAGGCAGTGCCTGCTGAACGACATGGACTTCACCCCGTACTGGCTGGAGCCAAACTTCGTGCAGTGCACCACGTACGACTTTGAAGCCCTGTTATCCAACGTGAGTTCCTTGTCCACGTTGTGGCTTCAGCCAGTCAACAGTTCTCTCCTTTTGGTCTCGCTTTTGCAAGATGGCTATCCGTCTATTTAGCCAGCGTGGGATTATGTTGTGGTGTTTGTGAAAATGCTATCCCTCTTGTACTTGAAAATATTGTCGCCGTCTGGTAGGAGGAGATATGAGAAACACTTGCTGAGCAGCGCTCCGTTTTGATGTTTAAAACATGGGCTGTCTGGAGCTGTTTGGGTGTGATAGCAGTGGTTGCGTAGAGGCTTTCTACCGGTAATCCGGTTTTGAATGCCTTCCTTTCAAACAGATTAAGTGCACCAAAACCTTGGGCAATACATCAACCACAGTTACGTTAGGCACCAAACCGCAAAGTAGTCCACTAAGCGCTATAAGAAGGACGTTTTTATATTCTACCATCCCCTCGCCTGCTGTGTGTATTTTGATATCGGATTGTTCCAGATTACTAGACACGCATATAAGATCCCGCCACAACATGCATACTGTAGCCGTCAAGCTTCTTACCTCAACATGCTATTGTGATCAGAAACTTGCACAGAACGTAGACTCCTTATATTAGCAAGCTCTACGAAAGGCTCCAAAAAAAGCTAGCCCAGAGCCTACCAATGCAAGAGGGCTACCAGAACGGCTGTTAAACCGACTCCTGTGATAAATCAACTCCTAACTTCATTGGTTCCCTGGCCCTGTACCGTGTTATGTGATTTCCACAGGCATATGTGTTTTTTCCTAATTTGAGTGACTCTCGCTTTATATAGACCCGGATGCTGACATCTGGTATTGAAGTGACAAGCGTGGAGAAGATTGCCGAGACACTCAACTCCATAACCACCCCGAACCTGTACGGAGGAAACCTCAGACTGGCGTCAGATATCATCCAGGAAATGATCCTTTACAAAGAAAAAACAAGAAGAAAGATGTCAAAGCGAGAACTGGAGGTTTGTTGAAGGATATTGTTCTGTCTGATATGAAAGGTTTAAGCTTCAGTGATTACATTAATTGCCACAGTTTCTGTTTGTGGATGCAACTTAGTGCAACTTGACGCTAGCTTAATTCTCATTACAATTACTGTTATATTGTTACATCTATTGTTGATGTATTTATTTTCATTATAATTACTTACTCATTACGTTGTGTACTTGTTAGTAGTATTAGTTCGATTTTGGGTTTTCCTTATATTTCCTTGCTCGTTTATCATTGTAAATTTTATGAGGAGCCAGCCTGGTAGAGAAACTAGGCTTTCTGTTGCCGGATGCTTACAGATTGCCTGTTCTTTTTGAATCGGTGAAGTCGAATGAATGAATGAATACTTTATAACCCTGGATTATGACGGAAAATGCAGTAAAAGATATCAGGTTACATTATTATTTGAGTAAAAGTTCAAACTTGTGCGTATTTCCCCTTTTCTCGGCAGGATGTACTGTGGTCCGCCAGTAATGTTCTGTCCCTCTACAATAAGGAGGAGTGGATGAATCTTCAGGAGGTTTGGTTTGTGTTTGTTTTCCTTTGCCACTCTTGCAGTTTTGTTTGTATCAAACCGCTGGTAGATTTATAGGGCAATTATTTGTCGTAATGTGTTGTTTCCAAATTGAACTGCAAATTGGGACCGTCTCTCTATCAGAAACTGTAACTTGGGAAAATAATTGTGAAACTAATTGAATTAGCTAACTGTGTAATCGACCGAAGAATTAATTATCCTATTTATTATTCAGACTCGATTATTCTAGGTTAGGCCATGTTGATTTGATTATATGGATGACATCCGCGCGCGCATGAATTTTCGGCCGTTTCCAAAAAAAAAAGTTTTCAACCATACTGAAATCGTGCAAAACAGTTGCTAAATGAGCAAAAATATACCATAAGTTGCAAGGAAAACATTTAGAAACGATACCAATGTCGTAGAATGCCAAAATCAAAGGAAAAAAGACAAAAATGTAAAGAAATGAATTCGAAGTGTTCGCCATAACATATTCTGTGCCATTTGTTCAACTTTCATGACCACGTAGATTTCATAGTGAAAGCAACTTTTTTTTTTGCAAAACGTTTTTTTTTATTCGCACGCGCGCATCAGTTTTGGGGTTCCCAGAGGATGTCATCCATATAATCAAATCAACATGGCCTTATGATGAAGGCAAAGACAAGTCTACTCATAAATAAAACATCTTGTAGTATGGACACACATTCATACACACAAACACACACAAAGATTTACAAACACACAAACAAACAAACAAACGCACACACACATTCACACACACAGACAATAACATGGACCAAAATATAACGTCCTTAGTCAATTGGAACATGAAACGACTGATGAGAGTATGACTGTGATGACGATGATCTTCAATGACCTTAAAAGCTATCACTGTCACACAAGATTCTAGATATTTCAGGAGATTCTATGTATATTTATGGTGATCACATGAACCAAGCTTAAGTGCTTTAAGTGTACCTGAACCTCAATGTCTGGCAAACGCTATGTACGGACGCCACCTATCACATCAATAGGTGTTTTCAGTCGGCAGCTTGATGTCCGATACGTTCCCACGGACACCCCAAAAGTAAATCATTTGGGAATTAGTTGATCTATAACTAAAGCGCATGCATGGTTTACCAAAGTAAAAATAGAAAGATGGAGATCAGCGATGCATAACATGATTACCCAAAATCCGTCAGACATTGGAAGGCGGGTGTAAGAGCTTACTGAATCTTACAGGGACAAATACTGTTTTATATTATGCGGAAGAAGGACTTAATCTGACAGAAATGTTCGTGTCCCCGGGGTGGTATAGCTACATTTTGTTATATCATGCTTAATGCATTTCAATATTGAAGCGATCCAAACGTGAATCCCCTGTCATTCATCCCAAACCTTCCCCCGATCACCAACCAACCAACGTCGGCAGAGCTCGGAAGGCCATGCATGTGTGGCAAAGGCTACGGAGAAGATGAATGTTGTCAGCAACGTTCTATATGATTGCATAGAGTGTAATTATAACAATGGTTCATATCGATGAGTAATAGCTGCTCAAAAGTTGTAGAATCATGTTACCTTACAGTTGTATGTCTACAAATAATTTATTTATAGACCTCGTTCGTCTTCACTGGCTAGTCCCTACTGATAGATCCCACTGCCCCGGGGAACCACGGATCTTCTCAATCGGTGGAGAATCTGAGCCCTCTGTCGACTTACGTTAGCCCAGGCTTTGATCATTAATCTTCTGTGGACTTCACAGTCACACATACTGTGTTTTTACTGAAACGTCTCCTTTCGAAGGGAAGCAGTGGCAGTTCATGGATTCTGGGGAATCTGACGCGGTACAGTCGTCTGGTGACGTTTGAGCTTGAGGAGGGGGGAAGCCGCTGTCCACATCAACAGACAACCTCGGTACGTATGGCATGTTACCGTCACGGGAGCTAGGGGTCTGAACATAAGGCAGGTCAATAGTATAGTAATGCGTAATAAAAAATAACGCGCATCACAAGTCACTTAATTCTATACTTGATAAAAACAACAACAACAACAACAAGAAGACAGAACTGGTGATTGACGAGAAGCCAGCTTCGTACGGCCATATTACATATACATTTTTAAAATTTCAATAAATTAGTATCTTATATCCACCATGTTAAGCAAGACGTATCACGGTATGTACTACGACTATAGCATAAACCAGTCCAGAATGGAAATCTATTTTGCTGAAACCACACATTCCTCTAGACATTAACCAGTTCCTCATTTCTGGGGTAAAACATAGTAAACTAGAGTTCCCCGATCTCATACCTTCGCCAAATGATGTTAGCCTTTAAGACTAAGACATTAGAGATTAATCCCCCTGATTGTGCAAATAGGATCCTACAGTGCATCAATTATATCTGTAGACCATATTCTACACCAGAAGACAGTCTTGTCTCATCAAAGAATGCCATTATAGCATTTCCTCATAAAGTATGCAAATGAGGTCCTTGTTTGAATAAGTTATGTTTAATTATGTTCACCTTCACATAACTTTCAAATATCTCAAGTATGAAATACCAGGCAGTTACCACTATGTAATTATAACATTTTCTCATTAATTATGCAAATTAAGTCTTCATTTGCATAATTGATATCTGTCTGTATTTCTGCTATTCTTAATTACATATGTCACAAACTTGAATAGTCCTATCATGGAATGCAGCTGATTTAGAGAATTTCCTCATTAATTATGCAAATTACATTAATATTTGCATAATTGTAATATTATTATGTCAAGCATCACTTCAGCTACCTACATGCCAAAAATCACGACGATCCATCAATCGGTTCTTGAGTTATCCGCCTTTAAACATTTTTCAACTAACGCCCCTGCAGTTAACTTCTTCCCCAGCACAAGAGCTACCTACCATCCAAATTTCATCACCCTAGCATGTCTAGATCACGAGATATTAAAGCCAGAAGTTCAGCTGCAGTACCATAACAAGCCGCTAGGGGGCCCAAAATCTAATCAGTTCCACGTGTCATGAAGACCTATCCACCTACCAAATATCAAGACAATCCATCTTAGCCTTCTTGAGTTATCGTGCTGACACACACACACACACACACACACACACACAGACACACGAACGCCTACGAAAACATAACCTTCTTGGCGAAGGTAATAATTCTTACTTGCTCTTTGACTAGCAATACGGTAAATGAATGTCGAACATAGTGACATCCAGGTGCATTTGTGCCGATCCGAATGCCGTTGAAATGGTGTTCGTTCGTCTGGTTCAAGGCCAGCAGTCATCTCATAGAAACAGACTTGAAAAGTGACAACAATCTCTAATAACAAGTGACGTGAGAGCGAGCGACCGTCTTTTGAGGTTGTACAGACACAGCGGGTGGTAAGAGGATTCATTGGCGCTACGTGTACATGTAAGTAAAGCAGAGAAAAAACTAAAGTACGACAGATTACTATTCGCAGAACAAAGCTTGATGCCACAAAGCTTGAATCTAGACTACAATTCAACGCCAACCACTGGTATCTCAGTTTGGAATCTCTAAATTACCTTTAACGTACAGCACACCCAAATACGCCTTCCTCATTAAATAAGCACACCAGGTACAGGGGCACCACGACACTAGCACTTTGCCATACTTTTTCCGTTCACGGTGTTGCAGTCATAGTGGCAATTTGCACGCTTTTTCACGCATGCCTAAACATTGAACATATTATTAGTCAATTACGTCCAGAAGTAACGATCTATTTTACGGTCTGCACAGTTAGGCCAGCATGGAATATCACCAATGGAACATATTCTCATATGTTCGTTGAAACGCTAGAACACTAAAATGTTATAAAGCGGGCAAGAATTATTACCGTAGAAATAAACTGATGAATTATTTAGATCCTGAATTGATGTATTACTTACAAGATTCAGATATGGTGCGACGATAAGTTACCCTGGGGCCCCTCCCGACTTCCGCGGTGAAGGATCGGTTGTTAGGTGCATAATTCATGACGTCATCCCGGCGATGTGGGAGAGATAAAGGTTTTACGGATTAACAAGGAAGCTGAGGTGTGGTGTCGTCCTCCGCACACTGTGTTAGTCTCCACCAGACTCCTTTCGCAGGCTGAAAAAATTGTAGAAATCGATCTAAAAAGGGGATATAATTGGCCAGAGGAGTTTCCCGGCCATCGAGGGTCCAATTGGCCGATTTCTACGATTTATTCCGCCTGCAAAAGGAGCCTGGTGGAGACTAACGCTGTGTCACACCGAAACATCTGGTAAAATGTACCATTAACTCAAGCATGCCATGTTACTATCTACCAATGATACCAGTACTGCCGATAGCTATACACTACAGAATTACCCTTGATATCAGGACGAATAGACCGCCCGATCCTCTTCTAAGCTATTTTCACTTCAAACTCCTGGAAGGACAAGAACATTAGAAATCTAAAGATAAATTCCACTGCAAAAGAAATGATGGCCAGGGAGGATCGTACAAGATAATCTATTCCTCAGTTAGGCGTTATCAAATCCAGGGCGGCGATACTGAGACGTTGCATATAAAATCATCATGATCATAATTTTGGGGTCTTAAAAACGTACTACTGAAAGCAAGCTTAAGTTCTTTCTGTGTAACATTCTTTTCGCACGCCTTTGAGTTATTGATTTAAGCTGCATGTAAGCGGAATACTGAAAGATAAGGATTTTTCAAGCATTGTTTGTACGCTCGCCCTCCCCTTGGGAATGACTCTTTTCCATTATCTCCGGTGTATAAAACAAAAATCAGGTTTGCCTGCAGTAACTCATTCATATCGTGCAAGACGGAATTGCTACGGGAAAATCTTAGATTTAAAGTTACATATTTCATCCCTGGGTGAAATAATGGTGACGCTTTGGAAACCTATTTTGCAAGGCTGCTGAACACGGACACAATGTGAAACCCGGGGTATCTATAATTGGATACTTCATCATGGATGGTGGAGCTCTTCTGCAGCATCCATGTTACCGTACAGTGATGTCTGCCTCGACATTATTCCCAGTCAGCCGAGGGTACTCAAGAAGATACTAACAGCGCCGGCTAAGAGCAGACGTGCATTAGCCCATACAGGTCCATTACGGCAGCTTTAGCAGATGTGAAATGACAGCACACCACGGGTGTTTTATTCAGCTTTCAAACGATTTCTATTCATCACAGAAGAGATCATTTGATATTCTAAAGGTCAACAGAGACGCCTGGATGTCTCTGTCTTGTGGGGATCCGTTTGTCACACTTTATTCTGCACTCCGATGTACAGAAATGTGGCATTTTCCACCGAGATGAGGACAGGCTAAACCGTTCTCCCTGCCTCATCCTTGGCTGATAGATATCATTAACTTTGAGAGCAAGACAAAAAACCGCAAAACTAATTGGCTGCGACGGGACTTCACGTTTGGTAGAAACCCGAGTGCAAATAACAGGATCCATGTTCCCTAATTAGGATTTACGTCTCTTCTGCTGACTGTATCGCATTCGTCTTCACGGTTAAATTGGATTTTTCGATGACAACTTCGTTTCTGATAACGAATTCAAGGTTATGAATTATTTGCCGGATGCACTTTGGCCAGAGTGATAAATTTGTTTGCATTCCGTAGGCGTGCACTTCCATCATGCCAACACCATGTCTCAGTTCCACTCCACGCTAGATAATCTTAAACTTCATAAACAAAATCAATGCGAAAGAAAAGGGGTGTCTTGCTATGAAGATGGACGACCCTTGAAACCCAATTAACTCTCGGCGCCCTCCCGTGGCGCTTCAGATATAACAGATGAAGCCGGCAGGACCTCCAGAACGCCGCGTGGATCCTCACTGTGGACCTGGCGGGCTCCGGCGGTAAGCTGTCTTCAGGAGGGAGACGTACATGTATGCCTGTGTGTGGAGTGTGAATACCACATCGAACTGTTTCACAACACCTTTGGTATTGTACGGAATGGTTATTTGTCCTTCCCAGCTCATATCAACTTTCTGTTTAAGGTCTCTATGCTCTACTATCACTTGATGTTCTTTCAACCATCCTATGTAATGAAAAATTTAGCGTGGTATAGAACTGGGAAAAATAAAGCTTGAAGGAGCTCGAGCCTGCTTGAAGAGCTCCATCGCCTCTCTCTGATGGGAGACACAGCGCACATATGAAGAGGTTACGGCTCCGCTGCTAGCGGCTCATTTTAAACATACGCCTCTACCATGAGATGAAGGTGGCGCCGACGTTCTGCTATCTCCGCCGCGCCAGGTGCCCATTCTCAAAGGCACATCTGTATGCAAAGTGCCTCCACGGTTGAGTAGGTGCTTGGAGCGTAAGGAACTCTCCAGCATGGATCATGTTGCCTACTTCCATTTATTTAGTCCGACATATATCCACAAAAGTCGTCTTAAGTGCTGGTTTCTAACATAGTCCAGAGGCGACATCGCTTGCATAACTGTCGACGGCGATCATTTACAAAACGTCAAGTAGACTCCTTCTTTGCATCAAAATTCAAGGTTAATTCGCACAAGAAATCGATCCAAGGTCAAGACCCTTGACTATTTCTAGACGCACTTTGGCATACGACTTTATGCATGCATTATTTTCAAGGACCTAAGCTGCAGCCGTGTATAATGCAGACGCGGAATTCGCCAAGTAAACATATTTCCGTCAGCCTTACTTTGAAAGCCTTTCATGCTAATTGCTTCACTGATGGAATAGCAAATAACAGTCCCGACGCAGCCACTAATAGGAATTAATTGAGCAGCGTGGTATTGGGTTCACCAGCCTGAGTGTTGGCATTTCCCTTGGCCCGTCAAAGTCAGGGCTCTGCAAATTGAGTTCATCCTTGTTCAAGAACGTGAAAATGAAAGCTCAGGAAAAGGATACAGATCCAATATTCTCTCTGGGTGATTTGCATACTCCCTGTCAATACCAATGGAATAAGATCCAGTATTTGCTTACGGAAATGTAAAACTGTTTAGGAACACAAATGTTACTAGTCTGGAAGCTGAATTACGATATTGATCGTGATGCTTATATTTCTTACATTTCTAAATCGTCCAAAACACGTAAATGTAGCCACAGTTTCGCACAATGATACATGTAGGAAGCCATCAATCGGGTAGCTCTTATTTTCATCAAATAACAAAAGTCCAAGTCCAATCTCTTGTGTTGGAAACTGCAGTTTGAACTTGTTTCATAATTACTTCTACCAACACAGATGAACTTTCGAGATAAGATAACATTTTACTTACAGTCGATTCAAAATGCAAGTGTGGTACTGCTTCACAAATATTTTAACTAAAGACCTTCTGAACAAGCTTTTTAATAATACCCGGCGAATCATCTGGGACGAAAATATTACATATATGTCAGTGTGTTTTTGCATGCGTCAACTCAGTAAACAGTAAACGGAAATAACAGGGATGGGCTGGACATTGTTATTTGGAGATGATCATTGCCAAAATGTTAGCGTCGTCTCTCTCTCTATTACTGGAACTTCACATACATTACTTATTACCTGCAATATGAACATTCACCATTGGTGTAGAACGGTTAATTCCAACAATACAATATTGATGCTCACATCACTGACATCAGGTTTTAATACCTAATACGAGTCAAAGAAGAAAGAAAAACAATGTATTGCACACCAACTTTTATCGTATATTGCATAGATCGAACAAAGTTTATCGCTCGGAAGACGAGGCAATAAAGGGCGCTGCAGTTGCCACAAAATTCTTCAGTGGAATGTCCTGGTTCACCTGTTATCTCCGAACAGCTCGCTACAGTAGCTAACCTAGAATCGCATTATATTTTACGGCAATATTACACTTTCACCACACTTGGAATTTATCCAAGTCTAGGAATGCATTTTGTTTTTCGTCCGGTCCTTAACGACACATCCGAGAAATACAGACACCAGTACTTGCATAGTTTATGGTAGTAAAATCGATTTTCTTGACGACCTCTGTCCCTGGTAGCAGACGGTATTGAAGAATCTTACAAATTTTATGTCCAAGCGGTCGGTAGTCATTGTTATGTGATCAAACAGCCGAGCAGGTTTGGAGTAGAGACCCCTGGTGCGTACATGACGAACTGTCATCAGCTTGTGTTTTTGCTATTGACTTGTGCTTCTATCATTGCCGCATCTTTTTGGACGTAATGTGTCCAGTGATGGCTGAAAGGCGCTAGCAAGACAAAATGCAGAAATTCTTTCACACAAGCAGGAGGAATTGTATTTCTTTCATCTTATGTCTTCATTCGTCGAACATAAAAAAATAAATGCAAGTGTAAAACATAAAAATGAACTGTGCAGAAGAAAGACAGATCAATATTGTCTATACTTAGTCTTCTCCAAGTGATTTAATATTTACATATTGATTTTTGTTGAAAAATGGTAAGTAAAACAACTAAAGGGTTCAACATCGGGCAGTATGTAGACAGAACGCGCTATCATGAAGCAAAAGTAAATGAGACTATATAAACACACTGTTCATGTAACAGGGCGATAGTTAAGAATACCCAGGGACGGACGGGAATTGATTTTATGTCCACCGTACGTGAAATGAATGGCCAGCAGTTGCAGCTGGTAATCAACTGCTAACTGATAAAAACCTGCTTCGGGGACAAGGAAGAATTCCCCGTGGTTGACGAAGATGGCCGGCCGTTATGTCGTCTTGAATATGTTTTAGATAGAATATTACATATTCCTGTTTTCTTATGTGCCAGGCCGTCTGCGTTAATAAGTGCTGTATAGCCCCCAAACCGTGATAACCACGTCCTTTAAATGAGCTGGACAACAGACTGAAACTGTTGTTCATCTCCACATTTATGTGTCTCCATATATTGTGTTCCAGTGATGGAAGTCGGGAAAGTGGCTGTAAAAGGGTTAGATGTTATAGAGTTTCCAGCGACACCTAAAGCTCGCACCTGGGTTGGAACCGACCGCATTGAAGTCCCGGGAAAGGCGCTGAGAAATTCGTATGAAGGTAATTACGAATTAAGAAGGTTAGTAATTAAGAACACACATGTACCTGTATAACAGTTTGAATTGTGTTCAACTATTCTTATTATTCTGTTAATATATGTACTTGTTCTCACCTTATGAAACAGTTTACTATCTCGCAACGCATACTTCATAATAGTATACTTTAGTGGTCTGGCAACGAAACAATCTTTTATGTTCCCATATGAGGGTTTTTATGATGGTTATTCTATTATTATCACACTTGTGTCCTTCAAAGTGTACGTTTATCAACTTAATCTCAACTGTAGTTGCAATGCTCATAACAGATACACATGCAGGGCCCGGGGCGGTATGTACTTGCTGTTTAAAGATATGTACATCTGAGTACGTCAACTTCGAGAACCTGCTCATCGAGAAGAGTCTCTGAATCAAAAACAGTACAAGTCATGATCTATTGAGTGTGTCTTGAGTGGTGCAAATTGTATGCTAGTGAAGATATCAAATTCAAATGTTACTAGTTACATCTTGACTTTAACTTTTGGCATTTAAATCTAGCTCGGTACCTGGACAAATTGATTCCGGTAGGATCACAGTTCACGTCACGACAGAGTCGAGCTAATTCTTCATGGCAAAGTGGCGGCAATCCGGGATTCCGGGAGACGGGAAGAACAAACAGGACGGTGTGATTTATGAATCAGCACGGTCGATAATAGAGAAGGGTAACCTTTGTCCTTTAGCTCTGTCTTTTAGGCACGACCTTGCAGCTTGACACAGAGATATCCCTCGCTGCCAAAGTCACTTCATACCTGAAAACGATCAATAAACTTTCTAAGAAATGGTTACAATTATTTGACCAGTCAGGAATATTCACAATTCAAAGGTTGTAACGGAAAAAAAGAGAGACATTTATTCTATATGCATGTGCCTCTGGCGTCTATCCCGCTCGTCTGATTGTAATGTTTGATGTCGTGCGTCTCTAAACCGCCTAGGGAGTCGCGGGCGGCAGTATCAACTGTAATTGCATGAATGTAGTCCACATCGTAAACATAATGAATATGCTGTTATCACAGCGGTATCATTTTAGTTAGAGCAATTAGAGATTATTACAAAACGCGTCAGACCACAGAAGATAGGTATTCCAGATTAGCTAAATTTGTCTACCGCAATATTTCATCGTAAACACCAGTCTCTATTGCGGTAATAAATATTCAAAGCACATCTTATTGATAGAGTTGACACAGAAGATGCCCTCTGAGGGACTGACTGTCATGTAGCTCTTGTTTCATTCTCTGTTTATTGTGCAGACGCCGCCCCTTCCCTATTCCTTCATGAATTTTGCCTCATCAACGTCAGTAGATGACAGTCTGCACTTTATTACACGGAGTGTTATCAGTATGCTCAAAACGGAACTATTCACTGTAGCCATACCCCGCCATGTGGTATCTAACTAGCACAAAATAGGACAAATCAAGTCTCGCATTCTTTCAGTTCCTTCAGAATTTCTGGACACATCTAGAATTTCTGATTAGCAGCATCTCTTCTGTGGAGTTTTTGCGCAAGAAATACATTTCCCGTAGTCAGAGTCCTGATTGCATCTTCTATCCGGCCTTAGTCGATGAAGTAGACTCCACAGCATCTGGAGCGTTGTTTGGGATTACCTGCTCCTGTTATCTAATTGTTTCATTTATCCACATAAGCTGATATATCAGCTTATTTGTGAACTTAACATTCTAAGCTGCTGTGGGGTTTAGAAATTGCACAAATCCTTAAAGTGTCAATGATGCCTTGGTTGGCGCACTAATGTGTAAGACTGTTGCTCACACTGTGAAGATGAAGGAAGCCCCGTCGCTCGCTAACAGCATTCCGAATGCCAGAGACAAGTACAGTGAGAGCAAGTGGATGATCGATTGATTCCATACAGCTCTCAGTTCATCCCCTTACATCAGCTATGTTATTAATGCCTATGTGCATGGTACGGAGTTTGAGCAGTCCGGTCTATCGGACCCTCCACATTCTTCATAAACCGGCATGTTACTGTAAGCCAATCACGGATATAATATCATTTGGACGGTCGCGCAAAATTGGCCGCCATGTTGCAGCTTTGTCTCAAGGAGAGAGAAAGATTAGAGTCAAAGTAATTGCGTTCCAGCTGTGAGGAATTGGTATTTCAGGACGGCGTCTCTTGAGATCGCCCTTCAAAGTCCTTTACATTATTATCGCAATGCAGTTCCCGGATCCCTGAACGATAACCAGATGTTAGCAGATTGCAACTCGCTTTATGAGATATATTGATCCGTAATATATTACTTTACCTTCTTGATGAATATGACAAATTAAGCCCTGCGATCAACATATGGTGTGTCTTTCAAGCAGATCGTATTGAAGCGAACGAGATATTCCCGTCCGCCACTACAGAAATTTCACGATATTGTCTAGATCTGGTTGCCAGGACTGTGTGTCCATCCGATATTATTCGTTTCATTAGAATACAGCGGTTCTGCGTCAGTGTTACATCGGAAATCTATAAAGCGCCGAGGCAGGCCAAGCCGTCTCCTCGCCGGGCAGAGTACATCGGGTGTGGCCACGGTGATGGTGCGCTCGAATGACGGGTTTAGTCGCGATCATTGTGCATGCGTTTCGTGACTCCTCTCTTCACGGGAAAATTGATTCTGTCTCTGAGATATCTGAGACCGTCTCTCAACTCAGATGGGATAGCGTAGCCAAGATAATCAGCGTCATGTACAGCAATGTGTCTCTCCTCTGAATTACAGAGAGCCAGGTGGTGGGAGTGAGCAGCTTTCTCTACAGGACAATTAAGGACCTACTTCCCGGGAACGACTTTCTCCTCAGGTACTTCATTACAGCTAGAATTGCACTCCTGTTGATGAATATAGGGCCCTGTCCGCATGCCGATGGAAAAGGTCCACGCGGCCTTCCACTAAGAATATTGTTATGGTGTGTCAAGACGGTCGTGTATAATTGAACGGAATTACGTACAGCACTGCGAATTACGTTTCGGGCACGTGAATCCCGAACATTCAGCAATTCTGCAGATCAGTAATGAAACGAAGTGAAGTGCTGCTGTAACATTTGATGTTAGTGGTAAAAGTCGTAGAGGTATTTTTAGAAGTTGAATGCGCAGCATGTGATTGTCCATAGAATGGTCTGTTTGACACAAGATAAATACATATTCTTAGCCTCCTGTTTAGTCACTTATACATGATTATGGTGGCACTTTCTACAGCGCATTTCGTTCAATTTGTGCTGAAATCCACGTTGTAAATAGGTTGCCTACGCCATCAGTAAATAATAGTCGCTGACAGGCTGTTTGTCTCGGAAGATAACCGTTAGATCCACCGTCTTCTCAAATCAACATTTGTTGAAGACTGCGCACATCATGAATGTATGCGTTCAATAAGCCGGCATGCATCAACCGTATACGGTTGCAACTCGCGGGACTCATTCTCTCCATACTTCATGATCAAGTTAATGAATAATCTATACCCAGCTCACGGCCTAAATTACTAGAAGCTGTCCATTATACCTCAGATGCATTGCCTGCGGGGGAGGTTCTCGCTCCTATATTCGTAAAACCCCGAGCCGCAGGGAGCAGGTGCCTTGAACGCTTAAGAAAATGGGAAATGAATTAAACAGCATGTCGAGCCAGATATCTATTACCAATACTGCCCCGTCCCTGTATCCACTTTCCATTGTTCAGCGCCAAGCGGGATCGAAGAGAATGCGATTGTGGACTCGCCACGGCAGAGTCTCTAAATTTACCCCATCAAATCAATTATTTTCTGACCAACTGGTCCACTTTAGCATCTGTATGCCTTGGCGATCACCTATTCCTGCCACTGTCGTTGTGCATTAAGATGCCGCCTAAATTGCCTCTTTATGTAGAACACGCCGTCCACAGGGAGAGACGTATTAGCACATTGCTAACGCCCCCGTGACGCATCTGCGCCTGCCTAAACCCCGCATTGCCTTGTCCTTCTGACAGAGACTCCAAGATCATCAACACCAGAGTTATCTCTCTGTCGCTCTTCCCGCCTCCCCCCGGTGAGCTAGATCCGCCTGTTCGAGTCGAGCTTGCCCACGAGAACGTACGTATTTCACGCCGTTTGCCCTTTTCCGTTTACTCTTCTTTCACCCCGTCTCATGTTGAAGAATTTCCGTGTACATCTTTGCCAGCTATCTCAAAGTGCTCGCACGTATTTTGGCCGGCTTAACTTCCTGATTGGTTAAATGGATGTCCATGCCTTTCAGGCCTCGTTCGTGGATCCGGAGTGCGTTAGTTGGGATTTCGGTATCCAGTTGCCGTAAGTGGATCTTTGATTTGATTGATGAGCCACGTTCTGACATCACCTTTTATTAAAATTTTCTTTAGATGATTGTAAATCTCGTCAGGAATGTTTACGAGACCATCGCTTTCTCTTTCGTGAAACCTAGCAACATGCATTTTTGGGCTTTCAAAAACACTAGCTTGCCGCCATGACGATACAAACGCTGGACACAATTCCACGTTACCTAAGATGAGGGGGAAGCAGATGTCTTTTTCACGCTTACTGTGTTCCAAAACATTTATATGTTTGTATCTGTGCTACCGCGACGAAAACAGAACGCTTGCTATACTCTGCAAGTGACAATCTATTGCAGAATATAAACAGTGTTGAGTGGAGGGGTAGACGGGGCCCTGGGTTAGCCGTGGGCGTGACTGGAATGGTAATGTTCGGTCCTTCCCACCTAACGGAGCTCCTGCGGATCACGCAGGAACCGGACGACAAAAGGCGGCTGGTCTACCGAGGGATGTGCCGTGCTGCTCTCCAACGACAGCCACACCGTCTGCCAGTGCAAACACCTCACCGACTTCGCCGTGCTCGTCACGCCCTTCGTCCCGAAGGTAGGTTTCTTTCCTCAACCATGTTTTCTTCCAAGTTAGATGAACACACCGAAGGTGATATTGCACATATCGACTGCCGCAGTGTGATGGAAAACATGAAGAGGCCGAGTGACAAAGTAGTCGGCGTTTTTGCTTGAAATTGCACACGATGTAATTATCTTCGAAGGTATCCATAGATTTTTTCTATATCATGTGGCGATAAAATAAGAGTGCAATTTCACTATGTCGGGCTTGATTTTCATATAACTTCGTGATGATTCTTGAATATTACCACATTACACGCGGTCGGGCGGGTGGAGTGGCGTGGCATTTCTGGATATCTTTTCGTGGTGGTGAACGTGTAGAATTGATGTTAAGACGTGACGGGTTCTTGTTAGGAACCTACGCAGGTGGCCAGAATACAATATGGTTGGTGGGTATTTTCACAGCTCTTTTGTTGCCCACTATGGTTTCAGGAACAGACTTTGTATAAAGTCTCTTGTTCTAGCTAGGAATTATTAGCAATATTATATTAATAAAACAGAGAATAGCAATAGACATATATAGGCTATTTGGAAGAAACACAATGGTGAGCAGCAATGTACTAAACAGTAGACATAAGCATGTCTTTATACATTATTTATGTTGCAACCTACATCACGTATTAGTCTGGTATGTCATCAAGTAGTTGAATATTAAGTGACGGAACAGGAAAAAATCTACTGTGATGATAGAACTGCAGCCAGACCAATATTCTGGATCGATCAGGTCGTCTTTCTACCGGTATTATTGTATGGCGCCATCAATAAGTTGATTTATTTTGGTTACAAATCGCTTAAAAGATGTCACAAGACATTCCTCAGTTGTTGCCACCATATGGCGATTGTTGAAGTTCATTACAGACGTGTAGTTTTAGATATAGATAAAGTGTCCTTGTCCATAATCATAATTCACCCGGCCAGGCGAGAGGTCATCTATATGGATTGGTGCTTGGGCTATCATCCTACATGGCAATTGCCAGAGTAATAAAGTGGAGGACCCAATGACATCCATCTGCACTCCCCAGCGTCTCTATTTTACAATGTTGGAGATGTTATCAGACCACGACTCTCCCCACAGGGCCCTGTATCAACAGATTCGGACTTTTATTCTGGCTGATTTCTGTGCCGCTGCAGGCTCCCCCAATGTGCCAGTTCATACAGAATATAAATCAATATGCATTGGTTGCTACTTCGGTGCCCTTTTAGTGCTCAGTTCCATTTTACCGTGGATGGTTTTATGGGTGTTCAGATATTGATGCTAGAAAATGACAACAGAATTAACGGTGGCCATTTTGTGCAGTAAAATACCCATCTTCCTGTGCTTTAAATACACAATAGCCCAGTGGCTTTGTCGTAATTTTGTGCCCTGGAACAGCACTTTCATTTACCGCATAAGTTAGGATCGATGTAAGCCAACATTAATCATTTCTGAGAAACAGTCATCTGGAGACGCGGCCGGCGGTGGACTTAACTCCCTTCGTTCATCCAGGCTGATACGACTTGCCGATTCAAACAGAATCCGATTTAAACAGAATACGTTTATCAAACGGTATTCTGCTTCTTTCCATCTAACTGTCGATACGTTTTCCTAGGAAATATGGCATGCCGATACAGTGATCACGTGAGATGTTGATTTTGGCATCGAGGATCGTTCGTTTGACGTCAAAAACGCCAATACACATTTCCCACCGTGGGGCGTCAGGTGCCTCGGTATCGAAAATCGTTTGGGAAAATTTCCGTCAGAGTTTCCGCCTCATGATGCGTTGTTCCAGACTCGGCTCGATGCACTTGATCGGAAAGGTGCTCGGCCAGAGATCAAAACACATCACCGGCGATCATGACAACCGATATCAACGCCACAACATTTTCCGCTCAGACTTTCCACATGTATACCACTTAGCTCAGCCGGTTGTGGTAACAACGATATAGCCGAAAATGAAGTTATACCACAAAGATCGCATTTATGGAACAATGAAAGCAACTTACGCAACTGGCTCTGAAGCCGTCAGTTGAGAAAGTCAACGCATTTGTTATTACGATACCTTCCAGGGTCTCGAACTATCCCACGCTACATTGCTCATTTAATGAGGCATACCACTTCCTTTTTCCAATAGACGGCAATGGTTGAGCTACCAAAGTTGTATTTGTGTGACCCTTGATTTTATATTTTGAAATCGAATACGACGCAAAAATAAAGCAATAAAACACACCAAACTGAAAAAAAGTGTTATTTTCTATGGAATTCGTACAGCGATATATGTCATGTAATTGGCCATTCAGGGATCGCAGCCTCTAGTTGAAAGGGGGTGTGACAGTTTGGTATGCATGTGGCGCTGAACCCCCGTATTCTCAGGTAATCCTCGTTACGACGTGGTTTATGAGTTGCACGGTATCCCCTGCACCTCGCGCGCACACGACAATTTATGTCTGAGGACAAATTGAAGCAAAGCCGCTTATATCTATTTGGCACTCATCTGCTAGAATGTTTCTCTAGATTAGGATGGGGTCATCAATTTACGAGTATGACAATCATATCCAATTAAGGACAGCTCATAAATCAAATGTCATTATTTTTGATAAGTTCGATTTATTTGCGTAGCATCCACTTTAATAACGACTTTATATTGCTGCCACAAGATGTTATCAAATACAGCGAGCCGATTGCACACGACATAAAGTTCACAAAGTTCAGGGAGCTACCGGGACCTTCCCTCACCTTTTTCTTTATTTATGTTTCCATCCATGTTAGTTGATGTGATCTTGGGCGAAGGTCGGAGGCTTTGGCTGATTTGCACCATATGAGTCGATAACTGTTTGTGTCTAACATCTAGATGGATGCTCCCAGCGCCAACGAGATCTCCTTTATCGTCGCCATTGGCTGTGGAATCGCCATGCTGGAAATAGCCTCCGTAATACTCGTTTACATCCTACTTTGGAGGTAAGATCTTCATATAACTCCATATATTCTCTGAGCCAAATATTCCTGACTAAAGGTTGCCCTGGGGCTATTTTCAAATAGGTAGGTTTGTTCAGAATGCCACTCGGCATGCACATTTATGACAAGTAAGTTAAACAACTTGCATGTTGATACGATTTCCGCACACATTCCCCATCTGCCGTTTGTGCGCATTGTTTTGGAGAATCAAAAATGACATTGGTAAGTAGTATCGTAGCGGAAATACAATCTACCAAAGCAGCCTTCCAGAACCGCAGAAGGGGCACCTAGGGGTGTTTCAGAAGTTACAGCTGTAGTAACGGATTATGGGACTTTTCAGCTATCACCATTGCTTTGTGTTTAGATTTGTGAGTGTAACAACGCAGCCTCCAGCGCTAAATGGTACGGGCTACAGCCTGTGGGTGATTACACAACTGAATAATGGAAAATGGACGTTCCGGAATGTACCATAAACATTTGGAGTTTGTTATGTTTTAATTTCCAGACCTTTATAGTTTGACGAAACGTTGATTTGAATATGATAAACCTGTGTGATTGCTGAAATATGTAACGTTGAATATTTAATTGGGTACGCGATTTAATGCATACCCTCAGACGATCCTACTGTCGTCTGCTGGATTGTACTAAATGAATAAAACAAAACTTACCTTTGCTGACTTGAAGAAATGGATAGTGCCTACATTTGTCAAAGACTTTGCGGCACGGGGCGTTATTGTGCAGGTCGATTGCATGTCACGCCCTGAACGCATTATCCTGGACATATCTGACTTTACACTTGTCTGATTCGCTTTGAAGCAGGGGGACATTACCACCTAATGCATACAGTCCTATCCTAAAGCCGAAAATATTGCATTAATCCTTGTGTAATACCCGGGTAATGTCCTACCTTAAGTGGATATTGATTGCATATGGCCTCCTGAACTATTCGTACAATATGTTACCTCCTATTTTGCTTTGTATTCCCGAACCATACATAGAAGCACGCCCTAACGAGGTTCACCGCCACTAATGGAGCCCTAGCGCAGCCTCTTGTCACTACATTTTATTGCAGGGCTATTGATGAAGTAGATCAAAGAGAATCATCTCTCTCGGCGGCTTGTGGGGTCCATATACACGACCGACAGCAGTGGAATAAGTAATATCCGCAGAGATGTGGGCCGGTCTGAAAAATTTACCAACGGTAACAGTAGACGAGTGTCATTTTCACATGACCAGAATTCACCACGCGTCCAGAATATGGTAACACGCCTGAGCGTACTTAAAGGATGCCGGTCTCTCGGGGATAAAGCTTCCCCCCAGGTGTCCTGAGATAACGCCTTTCTTAATTTCCCATCTCTGAAAGCTCCGACTGCCTGCTGGCACCGGCGCCACTTGGAGATGCATTGATGGCAGTTAGACGTACCGCACAGTACAGCTATTCTTCGCTTTAGAATGTTGTTCCGTGCTGTTCTTGCAAAATAAATTCCATTGACATCGTTTGTGTAAGATGCTGGGAGTTACGCGTGTAAAGGAATTGATTAGATATTTAAACATAAACATACAGCATTTCAAGCGTCATATCTGAAGACCGAACTACATTGCTCTTCTCGCTCAGCTGTATCAGACTGTAGGCTGCACCTGTTTGCTGTACGCATTTGCTAAAATATGTGACGAGCATGCAAATACAATTGAGGTGCATTTATACAAAGGTGAAGTTCAATGTATCAACGCTTCATCCGAATCTAGAACCTGGCGGCAACCACGGTATCATAAACACAGTTGCTCTGAGTAGAATTATTCAATGATGAAGATCCGTGGCATTACCGTCAATGACACTGTCTTTCCTTCCATGATCATAGTTTGATTTATGATCTATAACATAATTACAAGATAGTTCTTATCATGTAAATATAAAATATCACTGCGGAAGTCTACGTTATCAACAGCAGACGATGAAGATATGCATGGATCTCTTTATACAATCAAGATATGCATAACACATAGATATATACACCGTCTTTGAGATATGGTTTCTATCGCATCAGATAGAAACCGGGCATCAAGGCTAAGCCTTTTAAAGCTAAGCTGGTAGTTAAGTTTTATTTGACCTGTTGGCCTGAGGGATATCCTAACTGCAACAGAAAATACGTGTGCTATTTTTTTATGTTTCTAGTTGACCTACTATGAAATATAAAACAATGAGCTGTAATACTTGCAAATGCACTTCGCACACCAAGACTGGATTTCAGACTTTGAAGTATATGAATTAAAAGCCATCTTCAAGATCAGAATGCATCCAGTGCCAAGCTAGGTATTCCATGACTTGTCTTCCGAACCCACACTTCGTAAGTTCACACCTATCTTGAATGTGCCAAGTTAAAGCTTATGAGTATGTACAAACAAGTGAAAACGTATGTTTTGTACAAAATATTTCCTTTGATATTTCATTATATACAATTAGAATGATTTTGAAAGAACAAAACGATACGTGTCAGCTTTGCCCATTTCAAGGTCTATAGAAAACCGTGTCTCTGGAATATTCTCCGCCTTTGGATTTGTTAGGCTTGTAAAATCTGCTCCGTCTACAGTTTTCCGAATGATGCAATATAAGGCTATTACTCGTACGCTACTGTAGAGAAAACAGCCGCAGAGCGTTGAAATTGCTTTGCGATATTGCCTATATTCTAAATAACGCTGACGTCCATCAGCGCCCGTGGAGTGGTTGTTCAAGCCCAAATGATTGCCGGCCCGATTTCCCCTGCGGGTCATTTGTACATCGGCCTGTGTTTGGTAGGCCATGAACATGTAGACAACATGTATTTTGCACGACCCTACATCTTTGTGAGACTTCTGATAGATTGCTATGCAGTCTTCAGTCTCTCTTGGTAGGGGATAAAATCCGTTTTTGTCATGCTCCAATTTGTGCGTCGTATATCTTGGTGTTACACATGTTAGAGGGCAAACATTAAAGCTGTGCAAGGCATACATTTTGTAGTTTTTACCGGGTTAAGAAATACAAGACCTTTTCTAGAATGTTTAAAATAGTATATATGTACGGCTGCTTCAATACGTAGCTTTAATTCATATCTTACGCCATTTATTGCTCTTAAATTGAAAGATGTATTTACAATGTAGCTCAATTTCTGCGACTGATATCACTTTCACTGCCAACTGTTTTTATTTCTTTCGTGCTTTCCATTTCGCGGATGGAACAGAAAGCAAGTATTCATTTTTGTCATACTCTTTCATGTTGTTGTATGTATCCTTCGAGAATACATACATATTTTATGATGTATTTGAAATGCTCTAAATCTGCTTCAAAAGGAATTGTAAAATTGACTAGTAAATTTTAACCAACCAATCAATGCGAGGTTGCCTGGCTCACAAACACTTTTAGACCTTATTCCTATTCCCTAAAGTCGCAACATGAGTTTCGTCGCACACTCAAGACACGTTTAGTTCAAATTTAAAGAAAGGTTCAGGAATGTTCAGATGTTGTATTTTCTATTTACCTTGAGCATCAAAGGAACTCAGATATGCATAGAACGACGAGGCGCGTGATATGTTCCTTCCTTCGAAAACATCTTGACAAAGCAAACAATAAGGGTAACATAATTGGATGGATCTTGGTAATGAACCAACACAAAGTATTATATCTTACTCCACTTAATTACTGTTATTGTTGCTGGTTGATATATTGTCCTTTTTGTTAGAACGTGTGCGTATATCTCCGTTACAAGGTGGTATGTGTTCCGTCACTGAGTACTTCGCGCTTGTATCAGTGCGTGTTTGTGTCAGACTCCGTAAACAGTATTTATCAGCATTTTAAGTGAAAATCAAATTGAACAAAGATCAGTACTGTTTTATTCTTGTGTGTACAGACACACTACATGGAGAAGTTTGCAAGATTTCTGCAAGGTCTCTTATTAAAGCTTATACAATTATTACGAGGGTTACATTATCAACGCCGAATTAATTAATTAAGTAACATTTTTTATCAAGCCATGATGATAACCGAAAGGCCGTCCATACTTGAGTTTTAAAAAGATATTACGTTTAGTGACTGTTGCAATATCTATCGTAAGGCTCTTTCTATAATTCATATAGAAAGAGCCTTACATTCATTGCTGTTGAATATAACTTTTCAATCTAAGCATACGTCAGGTAGTGGGTGCATACTAACAACCTAATCAGCATAACCTATACATTCTTACATACATATCATTAGCTACATCGCTACATCGAACCATAAAAGGCGAGTTGTTATGTTTGATGACTGGCGAAGAAGGATATTTATTGTTTATGTGTAACGTTACAGGTTACCATTTTATCTTTACCTAGGTCATGATTTTTTTTCATCACCATGTGCTTCCTTAAATGATACCTACCTGCAATGAAAACCCATGGCTAAAAAGCCCCTTTAGCTCTGCAAACTGCAAAATGCAGTACAAGGAATACATATACCATGAGCAACTTATAAATTATGAAAAGGAACGTGTTGTTGAGTTTTCGAGTAACGTAACAAATTATCGATGTATGGCTTATTCAAAACCATTATACTTTGTTGTACCTTAAATGTAAAATATTGAAGGTCCTCATTTTCGAAGGTACAACTGTCTGTTTACATCCTACCATAAAGCAAATGTTTACTAAAATGTACCGTAGACGCCAATGTTGCCTCCTGGCAGACTTGGTCGCCATTACGCAAGCTAAGGCACTCAAAACCGTTACATCGCAGACAAACTATTGCAAAACATGTCTCGTAACTGCCCTTTTTCTCACGGGTGCAGTACATCGATATGCGAGGGGTGATATATACTACAGTAACTGCAATTTCTCCTCGAGTTTTAGATCATTATTCAGCGAGTGCATATCGACCCGTGAACGGCTCGGGTTCGAGGATATTTTGAAACTTATGAGGTGCAATTGGGGATGCGCTTCTTTAATCATAGTTGGCTTAAAGAAAGGCAGGTAAGGAGCTTATGTCTCTGATTTGCAACAGAACCACCCGCTTGTCTTCAATTATCACCTTCATCTTTAATCATTATATGCGTAATAGTCCTATGTTTAGTATATTTCCAAATTTCACGTGATTCCATTACCAAAGTTCATCACTTGACTTCCTGAATTACTCAGAAAAAATTCAATCATTGAATTTCGGGTATTTTATTCTCCATGCATACACGCATCAGATGCATTTAAGCCCAGTGTACTAATAAATATAGGCTGTCGGCCAATGTATGAAACAATCACAAAAATAAGAAAGCTAACATTCGTGACTAATGAACAAAACTGCTATCTGAAAACTATCTGCATATTTCGACCAATCTTGCCAGGCAAAGGTTCCTCATGCTTTCCTCGCATTGCCGTCTGAACAGCTACATTTCCTCTCAAGAAGACACATCAATACACATAGATAAAACACATCAAAATACATGTCCTGCTTGAGAGGCAAGAGGACGTAACGTGAAGATTGATAACCTAAGACAGACATGAGACGATGTTCTCTCAACCTTGTTATATGCTGCCGCATTTTCAATATGTCTTAAGGCACGTCTTGTAATTGCCAGCAGATAACCCCAGCTGGGACGTACTTTGCAGGAAGAAGACAGCAATAAGGGATGCAGCGTACCGAAACATGGGCAGACAAACGTCAACCAAACACTTACTCATTATTCAAAAACTGACCAGAACAAATGTGTATTCCGCAACCAAAACAGTGCAACCACTGCCGACATCGACTTTTCGGATTGCTTACATAGTTCATCGTCAGCCGTAAATGTTAACATCATTTGGCGAAGGTATTAGCTCGTGGAACTCTACTTTGATATTATATATATGTAAATCTAGTACCATGCATGTTGTAGAATATAGTATAATGCTAGACGTAGATATAGTCTCACATACCACTGTATTTTCTTTCTTATGTTGTTTGTAACTGCAATTAGCCCTCGGGCATGTATTTGCAATAAACTTTCATTCATATGTACAGAGTATATTATAACCATACCCAAGAGACTACAGTGGGGGCCAACTTCACGGTTTCATTTATAACACAGTTAAGCTTTCTGATGAACATCGTGCTTTTTTGTATATATATATATGATATTTCAATTTCCCACATCGTTGTGGTGCTGACATCACGACCACCTTGGCCACCAATGTAGAAAATACACGGCTTTGTCTGTACCTGCCTGATGACGTCCGAACAACTATTACAGATTCAGATGGCGTCTTGAACTATCCTGGGATTCGAACAAGTTATACGTGTTTCATACTGGTATGTTACATCACTGCATATGATATTTGGCAGCTAAAAATTCTGACATTTCCGGCGGAAAATGTCATACACATAAAGCACTGTTCTCCAACATTTCATACATATTAATTACAGTGTGAGGCAGTTAAACAAAGGGAGACATCATAGCAGGAAGGTTGTCCTTGCGTCGAGCTCTAATGTTAGAAGGATTGAAACGAAAACTTCGTGACCAGTTTTAAGAAGCATTTCTGATTTGTTACCTGCATCATGATAGTCAGGAGAGGATTGGTCCTGACTCATACCTCGTTGGGATGAAATAGATAACTTTTTGTTAAAGATTGAAACTCGACCGACCGATGGTCCCAGATGTGCACGCATTCTTAGGATGCCTAAGGAATCGACTCAATACATCATTCAAGAGTACTCGGGTAACAACTATCTTGTAACCAGCGTAAAGGTTAGCTGCATTCCGACATAAAGCTACTGGCCTTTATCTATGTACGTCAAGATAGCTCACGGTAATAGCTATATGTACTTTCCAAACGAAGTGAACAGCTAGCTTCAATGCAACAGGCCCAGGTCAGAAAACGGTATGTCGTAGATTGCAATCCAACTGATGCACGAGCAAAAGTCACTGGGTCCCCAGAGATTAGGTTGCATGAATACGACATTCCATATACTGTATATATCGTATGTTACTGTCCCTGGTGCTGGTGACGCCACCGCTGGTATGGCTGACTTTAAAAGGACTAAGTATATGTTAGTTACATGTCTCATTTCTCTACCTCCAGGTGCATCCGCTGCGATAGGTCCGTCATTGTTCTCAACCTGTCCTTGTCATTATTAAACGCCAACGGTGTATTCCTGGGCGGGATACCCCAAAAATGGAACAAAGTAAGTATTGCAATTTAAAACAGTGCTAAATGAAAGTATCATTTGCATAAGTGAGAACTACCCTCTACACCTATTTTCAGTTTTCTATAGACAAAATAACACGATCAATGGGGGAGTCACGAAGGGTCCCTTTTTCTGTTTTGCATTTTGCATGCGTAGGTGTCTAACATCCCAAAGTTGTAGACTTAGCCTTCTCCTTGCTGCCTTACCCGATAGAGAATTGGTATCCAAAATGCTACCACAGAGTGCTAAAGGTTAAGAAAGAAAGAAAGCATGGAAGCAAAGGCTGATGTTGAACCAGTGATATCCGCCCCCAAAATGGGAATATCGAACAATATGGTGTCGTATATATTGATGTCTTGTTTGCAGACCAACCGCATGGGCACCCTACAGGGGTGAGGTATACGTCTCAAATGACTCTGGCGCCTATAAGTGTTGATCTATGATGTTGACAGACAACTTTATACTAGTCACGTATTCAAGATAAGATAAACTTCTCAACCACCTTCATTCTCTGACATGACTTATTTCCCCAGACCATCTGTACAGCTGTTGCCGCCATGCTTCATTACTTCTTCCTGGCCGCCTTTTGTTGGATGCTGGCTGAAGGATGGCACATGTACTCTTCCTTGGTCCGTACCAACGGCAAACTCAGCAAAGCCAAGCTATACATCGCACTGGGATGGCGTAAGTTGTTTCACTCACTCTCTCTCTCTCTCTCTCTATTTATATCCCCGTTTCCCTCTACATGCGTACACATCTAGGCCAAATGCAGGAACCACCTCTCATCAGATTACTAACTTTTAAACAACTTTTTAACTTTTCTGACTTTCCAACCGTTCCATCTTTCCCTTCCACTTTTGATTATAGATATTATTATGATTACTTTATTAATTTGATGATGCTGTGTCTTTGATATTGTATAATGCATTGATATGTTTTGCTATTTTGATATTCGTAACTTGTTGTTAGGTCCTGTATATTGTATTGACTTGTCCTGTGTTGTGTTGTGTTGTGTTGTATGTACCAGTGGCAGCCGCCACCAGCCTTTGGCTGCCTGGCTCCCACTTGTAATGCGTTGTTTGGCATCACCAATAAATGAAATAAATGAATGAAAATCTAGTGTCTATCTACGAAACTATTTATATTTATACATGACTATCAATGCCGATAGTCACACTGAGTAATCAATATTACGTGTAAAACATTACTTTTCTTACTTCCATTTTACATTGCCCGTAGGCCTGTACGACTAGTTGTAGGCCGGCTGCATGGTGATTTTGTTACAGATAATCACGATTTTTCCTTGGGGCGTCATAATGGAAAAGTACAGACAGCTTATAGTCCCATAATTTATTGTCTGTTACGAAGACTTTGGACTTGCACCAAATTGCATTAACTTTGGGGATTTGGAGTAGAGAAAATCTTTCATCTTGGAGCTTATCCTGGTGGCCGATCGTATACTTGTGTAATTGGAGTGAAGATGAATTTGGCTTCGATTGAAAGGCTTTTGGATAAACTCCGTCCGATAAGGATCTAAACACTTATCTCGCCAATACAGCCGGGGCAAAGCCTTCTAACTAGATCTGCTAACATCCTGTTTACAACATCGTAACCTGCTTCCAACGGAGATCAATTATCCATGGCAATGATGTATTCTCCATGGCTGGAGCTCTTCTTGTTCGTCTTGTACTTGGCTGTGTTTTGCGCCTTGTGATAAGGAAGTCTGTGATATTGAATTTAGTTACAGCGAAAATATAGAATCTAATTAATGTTGATGAAAAGAGGTCAACTAGATGCAAGTTCAATTGTAATCCAAAAAAGCGTAAGCAATTTAGAAGTAATGCTCCAAACGTATTAGAATCCTTTAGCTGTACATTTGTAAGTAAAAGCTATCATTTTTAGACTACTGTGTGTCATTTGATTTTTTTTGGGGGGGGGGGTGTTCTTAAGAGCCAATGTGGTAATCTGTTACTATTTTCAATATCGCAAATCTGAAGGGCTACGGCCTGCGTCCCGCATTTGGTTATGTTCTTTGACGCCAAAACTGGGTTGAGTCAATAAATTCATGAATATTTTTACTTACAGGCAATTACGAGAACCTAATTAAAGCTACTCATTGTTCAATCAGGACGCTCCAATTGCTGACAAATCATAACATATTGATTTGCTAAAGTAGTTTCAATCAAGGAGAGTGAATAAGTGTAGCAGGTCATTGACATGACGAGGCTTCGTCCATAGTGTTTTCGCTGAAAGTTCCCATTAACCTCTGGATCTATAGGTCAGCGGTGTGGTTAGACGTCTATAAAAAATCCTCTTCGGTTTTCTGGGAAGCTATGGTCTTACCAGAACGGACGTTAATCCGAGTCATCAGACGATAGAAGTCGATCAATACAACCCGGTGCGGAATGCACCCAACCGGCGGTAATTCCTCATTCCCAAGGGATCCACTTGTATGGACCATCAGTCGACAAGGAACCGAATATACAGTTAATCCCTTGCCGCTTCATTCTGGAAGGGGCAAGAGTGGGGGCGCATATTGTTTCTCGTGGGTATCGCTGGCATTTCAACTCCGCATTTATTGCTGGATATTAGAAAATGCGTGATAGAGCTTCCGTGCGATATGTAATAATTCAGTCTCAAGTGATTTACTGGTTCAAAGGGACACTCAAGTTCAGGAGTTGGTCGTAAAGTTCTCCGTAATACTTTTTGGAACTCAAAATCATTTCCTTGGAGTGGGATTTTTTAAACTTTTTATTACCCTTTCGAATTTTATCCTGCCATAAATTAGAGGTGTATTTGTAAGATCACAACAATGGCCGGTATTTTTGCTGCTAAGTACTATACCTACATGACATTTCAACGTCGAATTAACAATTGATCTCAAAGCAGTGAAATATAGCACAACTCTAGTTTCAGCTCAAGCCATCTGTCAATCCACTTTCTTAAAGGATCCGTAGCTGGTGCAAAGGAAATCCCTTGATGAATGAGGTGTTTCTCGTAGAAAGGCTATCACCAAAATGAACCGTTCATTTTGCTGACGGCTGAAAGTTAGACGAGAAAGTGTTCGGTTTCAATGTGACTGATGTTGCCCGTTTGCCAGCTTACAGTGAGTGCACAGTAATGGCGTTCTTTGTGAGAGAAAACGGTTGCCTCTTGGGTAAGCATAGCCGTGTACTATGCAAGGGTGACATATGTTATCTAACTCTGTATCTTACACCTTCCACAGTACTACCAGCAGCAGTTGTCGGCGTTTCTTTGGGGATTACGAAGACAAATGGATATGGCAATGACAAACAGTAAGCGGCTCTTTCTCATACGTATCGTTATATCTAGCACGCAGTAATTGTTCATTCTTCTTTTAAGATTCGTGTCCTTGCATTGCGAGCATGAAATCACAGCCAACCATCGTACAGAATTGTAATCGTGTCTTCTCCATGATATACGTCAATTTCAATGACATGGACAGGCTGGTGTTGTGGGAGACTTGTCAAAGACTGCTTGAGTGCCGCGGGCGGGGTAAGGGTCAGACGATCCGTCACTCCTGCTGTGGAGTCTCACCAGACTTGATTCCGGCTAGTTGGTTCCCTTCAATATTTCAGAATTGATGAAGAGCGTCCATTATAAAATTCTGCCATTAAAATCCATAAGAAATAAAAGTTCCAGCGGCACGATCCATCAATCAATGCATAATGTACGAGGTAAACGTCAATCATCAAAGAGATCTACTGGGTTTTCCCATAAGCCAAGACATTTTTACGTGCGCCAGAATCATCGATCGATTTGCTGATGGTCAGATCGAAGTTGAACCTTCAGTAGTGACGACCGTGCAGACAAATGTTCAACTGTGCTGTAATGTAACCGTGACCTTTATGCGTGTCACTATTGATTTGAAGAGTCATTTTCATCAACAAGTACTAGACGAATCTCTGAGGGGATCGAGTCTACTGAAATGTTGGAACCTATTTGTTCCTTGACCTGAGAATTCCAAAAGTTGGTATGGTGCCACGGAATGCGTGAGAAGATTGAATAACTGATAAAAAGTGCGGAATCACGGGTAGTGAAATGTTGCCTCTACCCACGCTGTGCCCTTGTCTCGTGCCTCTGCCGGGGGCGGTGATGCCAGCGGTAACGATTCTTCATCCCGGCGGGATCACGGTGTTTCTCGCGCCCTTATCCGTCTTATCGACCACGGTAGATCTGAGATGCCGTGAAGGCAAGAGGTGATCGGTAAGGTTCGCTTCAGGAAAAATGGATAAGGGAGCGTCTGAATTTGCAATAGCAACGATGCACTTGTCTTGCATTTGTGCAGATATCTATTTCCAATAAATTTCGAAGGAATTTGACCAGACCTACATTTGCTTACAGTGCCAAGCAATCCTTTAGCAAATGGCCTGACAACAGTACATTTTTACCTATTTTAAATGTCACTGTTTTCAAGATCTAGACACCAGTTACAAAATCTAGAACCGGTTAAGTTGTCATGTATTTCCTAAACATTAAGAGATATCAAAGTTTCGGTGGAAAGCTCCGCCGACTTTGCCATTTTTATCAGGCAGTCCAATTGCAGTAAGATAATCTAATGCTCCCCCGAGCGGAATTCTCCATTGAGTGTATCAGCATGACTACTTCTGGCACCTGCTTCAGTCAAAATTGAGCCATGCCCGGCTACGTCAGAGGGCCAGGGAGCAAATAGACTGCGCCCCCAGTATTCATGCCGTGCAGTGACCTGTGCAAACGGCTCCAGATCCAGGCGGTCATGTAGAAAGTCGTGTATTCGTCAGTGTCTCCAGGAGTTCCGTCTCAGTGGCGAAGGCGCCATTTTTTCCAGACCATGACCAGGAGCCAATCGTCTGCTTCAGCAACATGGAGGCTAATTATGCTGGAGCGGGAGGGAGACGGGAACTCCCTCCACGGCATACCTGAATCTCCTTCTAAAGCCCGTGTACAAAATCGCATATCACTACTCGCCACCCCCCCCCCAAAAAAAAGATAAACACCTCCGCTCCAAGTCTGCAAAGGAGGCTACATCAGATCAGCGAATATACAACTTTGAAGTTTCTCCTTCCTCCCCTTCAAGGTCATTACTAACTATATCTAAAGACAAAGATCTGAGTTCTAGCATATGAAATACCTTCCATGAGAGCTAATACCTCGTCATGATTGATGGGAAGCTGTAGTGGGAGGAATGATCACAACCATCTCATCCTTTTGATGAGAACGCATGACCTTACCACATCTATTGGATTGCATTTTTTCAGCTGCTGGATCACGCTCGATAGCCAGCTTCCATTAGCCCTGGCAGCGCCGGCCTGTGCAGTAGTGGCCGTAAGTGTCACCAGCTCTATCATTTGTAGAGAAATACTGCTTTAATTTGTATCACGTGTGTTAAAGCACGACTGAAGACATTAAGGACTTTGCGATCACCGTACCAGTGAATGCTATCAGCTACTATGATAAGAACGTTATCCTTATTGCCAATTTGTAATGTACTATTCTGTCATCGACCTAACTACAGTAATAAGATGATGGAATATCATGTCCATGCGAATGACTACATATTAATGTATTCACAATTACCCATCAATGTACCGATAAAACGTTTTCTTACTGTGTTTTCTATGTTTTTAGTAGTCAAGGTTTGTAGGTGGATTTTATTCTAGGTAATTTTGCTGTCTTTCAGGCAAACTTGGTCATCTTACTCCTGGTTGTGAAGGCCATGCTGAATTCAATGGCGAAGAAAGTCGACAAGGACCGTACTAGGTATGCGGCAGTATCTATTTTACTACAAGATGCAAGATACGCAACAATGTGATGCAAAAGACATAATTCAATAATTTAACAATTTGAAGTTTGTTGATTGAATACCTGAGGTCAGTTTTTACACGGCTTGTTTCCAATGATACAAAATAAAGACCTACTCTAGATCTAATGTTTGTACATGCGATCTATATTCTGCGTGATTTCAACATCAAGATTTGTCTGCGACATGTATACAACTCGCTCGTCTGCGGGGGGAGAAGTCAGAATCCAGGCGACTTCATATCCCCACAGACGTCTTTTATCTTCATGTCATAATTTTTTTCATAAAGAATACAGTAAAGCAGCATCAAATACCGCTGAGATGAAACATATAGCTCGGTATTATGAAGGACGATTGCCTCTGACATGTGGAACAACACCAGGCGACAAGCTGTCTGTACGGTTTTAACAAACTAGGGAGCAGACTGGGCGCCTCCATCGTTCTGAGCACTTCGTTAATACTGAATGTATATACCAGCTTATGTCAGGGCACATATTTGAAAGTCAAAAGTTGCCAATTTTCTCCATTTGAAACCTATGGTGATATTTAATGCATACCGGGGTGCCTCTATAGAAGATCTTTATGGATATTTCTGAGAAACTGAGTCACTCTAATATGTTTGCAAATCGACGTTAAAAGTTTACCTCTAATCAAATAAAAATTGGATGAAATTCATAAAGATCAATGAAGAAATCGAAGTTGAGTGCATGATTATCATCTGAAAGAAAGCAATGTTCGCTCAACTTCAGTCTTAACTGCCTGGGGCCTACTGCCTCACCATTGCAAGGAGGAAGTGGCAAGGTAAAATTAACTACATTGGATACTATGTATTGAACGGTTTCAAATATAAGTTGGAAGTTTGAGGTAGTGCCAGATTCATCGATGACAAATACAGCATATTTTCAGGCGGGCATTCATTTCATTTATTGCCTTTCCCTGTCTGTATTGGCCAGCCAAGCATCAAGCCTTCCAGGCTGTGCCGCAAATGGATTACCTGGTGCCGGGAGCGGCAGAACTGTTCCCGGGACGTGCCACACACTTCTGACTTACATCGCTTCTGGGGATTATTACAATTCGTAGCGCGCGTGTAAAGTTTACAGACACATTAATTAGGAAATCAAATACTCAGCCCTGAGAATATTACCAAGCATATTACTACATCCAAAAGGCAATTCATCGTCATTAACTCGTTGTATATGGCGCACTAAATTGCAGATTTATTTACTTATTTGTAATAAGTGTACGCAAGTAAGCAATATATAGGTAATCACATTTAACAATTTCCTTCCTAGAACGGCCCTCTGGAGTTCGTGTGTTATATTGCCTTTGCTGGGCGCTACGGTAGTTCTTGCGGTGTTTGCCGTCAACCGATCTGCAGTGCTATTTCAGTACTTATTCGCCATGTGCAACACCTTATTGGTAAGTGAACACTTTCTCGGTTTATTCCTCACGTATTTCATGTTGATGCAAACGTGCACACCGTCAGACTGACAAATCAGTATTGATCAGCAGGGAAAGTGTCACCAGAATCTATAACTACTGTACTTCAAAACCTGAAATACCGGCATGGACTTTAGACCCTTGGTTGATGGTGGCCATGTTCAATGTTATTATTTTAAGTCTGGAATTTTATTATATTATTGCGTCTCAAAGAGATAGTCTCAATATAAATGCAGATCATCATAGACATGCATCCACTTAAGTCATATATTTTGCAAAATCTACGGCTTTACAAGGTGTCAGTGGACATCAAGTTAATGGTAGTGCTTGAAAAGAAAACATCTCTGGAACTTTGCAAGTGTATAAGCACTAGGATTTACGACTGTGCCGTGCAGACTATATGTTCTGCAGCGTTGCCGATCATTCGCCCTGGAATATCTACTGCTATGTTGACTACATACGGCTATGGTTGAAAGTCCATGTACAGCATTGATGGACGGTGGAGCATAATGACATAGAGAGGGGCGAATATTTATGGGCCAATCTCCTCGCTCAAATATCGGCAAACCGGCGAGTTTCAGAAGCCTTTTAAGTCGGAAAAACCCTCATTTACGGTGGAATATTGATTGTTGTACACTATTTGCCAAAGTGGACATGCATCATAGAAGTGTCTCGGGAATTATGTAAAGTAAAAATCATTAATGTCCATGAAAATGGCCATACGTTTAATGCTGGCTGTCAGAGAATAATATTCAAGTAACTCGCGTAGGGTCGACGGTGAATGTAAAGAATTGGTTTGAGTTTATTCTTTGGCCTTTCTATTGAGACATTTGTTATTCTACAGGGTCTCTTCATGCTGCTGTTCTACTGCGTAGGCAATAAACAGGTCAGTACTTAAGAACATTTTGCTGTAGATTTTTATCACCCTTTTTTGAATACTAGTAACTAAATTTCACATTTGCTATTCACCTAAACTGCACTGCACATGTATTTTCAGCTTACAGCAAATACTGCACGTAGTGAATGTAGTGTGGTAAAATGCGTTTACGTACCACAACACCCTATGAACAATCATTACTGACGTGTCTGTCTCTCGATGACCAGGTCTTGGACATCGTGAAGTCCCGGATGTGTGCCGCCGAGGAGACTGACCCGCCCTCTGACCCTGACGTCGCCATATCTGCTCAGAACCCTACTGCGGTAAATTATTCAACATACTCATCAAATGAAGACAAGCTGTTGGAAACGAACTTTTAGTTGAAGACTCAGTCATAAGTAAACATTGTCTGGGGTATACGTATCGCACTATAATTTGTTACAGTCTCTACGTTTGTTTAATCTGGCTAAGGCAACAAGAAGTGATGAGCTGTTAGCAATGGACAACCAGAAGCCAAATTATATATCTTCATCTATAATATTAACTAGCCACTGTGGGACCTAGTTACTGTCAGATTCCGTTATCATTTCCTTTTTATATTTATTTGGAATATTCTTTTTATATAACACGTATTTCCCATCTGTGATATAACATACTGGAGATTTTGACAACAGTTGAACAAATAGACAAATGCCACAATATCTTGTGACATTTATCACTGATTACCAATTTAGTCATTTCAACAAATTTAATCTGTTTGTGTGCTTCAGCTCCGCATACCCTATATCATATAACATGCGTCTTTTATCTGACATCATACAGAAGAAGGTTGACGCCAACGGTAGGCCAATAACATACACAGGTAACTGAACAGTGTTTACTTAAATTTTTCTAACTTGTCTTTTAACTTGCTTAACGTTAAATTACGTGGAAGTTATGGAATACAAAGCTAGGGGTGACCAAACCTTACCTAACTGAATAGAAGGACATATTCAAATGCTGTTAGTTTGTCGTGCATATGCTTGTCTGTTGTTTGTTTGTTTGATCCAGCATTCGTGACATATACAAGTTGGTTTTTTCTTGACATTTTGCTCTCCTTTTCTATGTAAATAAAAAAAAGCGGCCGTACATGTTGATGGACCAATGACCGTCGTGGAGAAGATCGACCACGTGACTCATGAAGAGCATGAGATGGAGATGATTGACGTAGTGGTGACGTCAGAACAGGAACGCCGGGCACAGGCGGAGGCGTTGCTACGGCGACAGGTGAGGGCATCCTGTTTCTCATTTGGATCATTTGGCGACGCCCCACAGTCTGTAAGCAGTTTTCACTTCAAGAATTTTACGAATTATACAGGAATTTCTGTGATGTATAAAGGAACGAGACGTAAGAGTTTCTTGTATGTTTAATGGATCGTCAAGATTTTTTTACAGATTGACGTGATGATGTGTATTGTGCTAATCATGTCTCATTTGCATAACCAATTAGTAAATTGTATCATGGTAACTTATTGGTAAATGACGCGACGGGAATTTCATACTTTGGAACATTATTAGACATAAATTATGCAAATCAAGGGCTATGGCCAAGTTTCTTTTCTTCCAGTACGAAATGTAAACTATTAGGGCGTTTTCTATTATTTCCTTCCAAAAAAACGTCGCTGTGATATGAACCTACCACAAATAATCAACACATGAAAATTGATGCCACATGACCACATCCCACTTTTGTTCCATGTGTACATCTGATCATGCACCTTGCAAGTCTTCATTAAGTCGATTCTACGCTGGTATCTTCTCAACAGGGTCACTCCCGGACGTTAGAACGTGATCCACGGTACGGCCCTTGTCCCAAACCCCGCCAGGCCGCCGAACAGCGCCCGGTGTCCCTGGAGGTCCCCATCCACACCATGCCTCGCAACCCGCGACACGACGGCAGCTCTCCGCGGATGATGACCACCTTCAAGCCCGACGACATGGAGCAGTACCACACCGCCTCCACGTTGCGTGTCCAGCTCGACCCTCGTCCCACCAAACCCCAGCCTGGCGCCATCAGAGTTCTCCCAGGTCACGGCCCGAGCGTGGCTCAGGGGAAACACCTAGATTACGAGCCGGTCAAGCATTCCTCCTGCGAAGAGTTGGACAGGACAGACAAGTACAAAGCTGACCATGTCGTGATGAATACAAATGCCTCCCCCTCACCCCACATTGTGGTACGTACGAAGTAATGATGATCATTCAGTCATGTACACTATCCAAACGGTTTACTTTATTAAATTGTCTATTAAATGTTAACTGTTGTCTAAAATACGACCAAATCTGTGGCAGTCTACTGTAGTCTACGAGATTGATCATGTTACATTTCTAGTATGTTATGTGTATTGTAAGCATCTGTGTCGGAGTATTATACAATGCGGTGTGTACAATGATTGTATGAAGCAATATAAAAAGAGTAGTAACTACTACTATGTATATAAACTGTACATTGTATGTGTTTGTTGTAAAGAAAGTACTAGTAGTTGGTTTAGCCATATACAGTGAATTATTGTTTACAAGGCTTTCCTATTTTTCTGTCGTTCTTGCGTCCATCTGCTGTTATTCGTATCACCCGTATCCGATTTTTTTTCTTTTTTTCTGTATTAGCGAGCACAAGCAAGATACTCAGACCTAGACTTTCAGGTAATTTTTGTTGTACCTGTTTTTGTATACAATCGTTTCATCCCTCCACAATAAACCCGCTCTACACCTCGGTCCCATGCTTACAATGTCTTGCAAGAAGTAGGAGAGACGATTTACATTCACTCGTCTTGACAAAGGGAAAACTCTTCTTTGTGTTGATTTCGTTTCTAGCATAAGATGTCGATTTCTTTTGTTCGCTTTCTTACCCTCTGTAGAACCACTAGTTTTTCCGCACACGGTTACTTTTTCTCTCGTTCGCTGGCAGAAAATTATGCACACCAGAGAGCGGCATATGGACATGCTGCAAAATATACACGACTCCCCTTCTGCCTCACAGCAAACTGAGGTATAGAAGTCAGAATTTTCGTTCATCCTTACGTTTTCTCAATTCTTTCCTCATTTGGGCTATTGCAAGTGTCAAAGCAAGTAGAACAGGATGTATATGTTATGCCCTATTTATCCTTCCCTGTCTTTCTTTATGCGCACGCTATCGTAAGTCTTGGTGACGCTTTACTCTTGTAATTGTCGGTACGTAGAGACTACTTGTAATTCCATACCATGTTGTTCTACGTTGTGTTGATATCGTAATAGCTATCCATAAAATCCTCATGACATTGAGATATAGAAAGCATGCTTTCGTATGTTGTAAACAGGTATGTTGTTCATGTTATGGGAGCCATATCTTAGAAAGACTGTGTCCATCCAACAGTAAAAGGGTGTAACAGTAAGGATAAGTTTGCTGCATTTCTACTTTAATTGTCTTGAGTTTCACCATCTCTGTAGGTGTCACGACAGTGGAGTGTCTCTTCCTTACCAGAGTTTTTACTTAAGGTGAAAAATATGAAAACAACAAATATCAAGGATTGATAAAATAAAGTATATTTGGCATACAAGTGTTTAATTCTGCATTTTCGTCAAGCTTTAAATGCTTTATCAGGCTTTGTTCTGGATTTTCTCTAACAAACAATTTGCAAGACGAAAATTCAAAGCTTGAACATATGCTACGTTGTAAACTTGCTCTAAGAGTTCGCTTGTGCTGCATAATGCAGACATTGCCGTATCCGTTTGCTTCAAAAGCCTCACACTTATCAGATAACGCCATCAAACTGACAAAACTAACTTCATTTGCTGTTTTATTTACTTCATCTTTCTGTATATCAGTTTCGTTATTGTTACTTACTTGGTGTTGTCAAGTCTTATGCTATTGTATTCATTAGTGTAATTAAGATCTTTTAGATTGATGTTGTGATGTTGATAGTATGCACCTGTAGTCCAACACAGATGATAGGGCTCATAATATGCCTTTCTTAAGTACATACGTGTACTGGCAACTGAATTGCTCAACGATTCTAATGAAGAGATTTATCTTCTTTTCTTCTTCTACAGGAAGGGCAAACGTTAAGTAGAGCTGCGTTTAGAAGCCTGAAAAGGAGCTTAAGCAACCCGAAATGGAAGCAGCAGGGCCCGGGCCAGCCGGAGGGACCTTCTGACCGTGAAGCCACGCCTTCTTCCATAGAAATGACAGAATTCTACAAAAGCTACTCAGATATTTGACACCAGAAAATGTATAGAACTGGACCTTTTATAACTTCGTCTCGTTCGTCTTACCAGTGGAGTCATGTATTGTTGCGATAACATACAAAAGAACATTTCCTATGAAACAGCAGACTGTGTGGAACCAGAACAGCCCTACCTATATTTCACGATGTTGTGGATATGTATAATGACCTTTGCCGTCACATACTGGGGAAAGGAAAGTACGCCAGCTGTATGGACACCATTTACTATTGTAGATGTATAAGTCTTCTTTGCAGTGAAAGGCAAAGGCCATTCTGACAGTGTATCAACCTATCTTCTGGAGGTCAAAATACAGGGATGTTTTATGGAGGTCAGCTATGCTGTACCGAAATTCCAAAGTCAGATTTACCAAATGTTATGACATCTTCAATGAAATTGATAAAACAACTCTAATTCCATGTGCATAAGCATATTATGAATTGGCGCAGAAACATATGCCTGTCGTTAATCCTTATTGATAAACACTTCCCTGAGAATGCACATGAAGGAGGTGGATTTGGAATGACATGTAAAATCCAAGATATCATAGACAGACTTTCTCATCTACTGTTCATGTTTCATGTGAGCTGGGCGTTGTCAATCAGCTGCAGTCTACGCGTATAAAGAACCAGTTATATTATATTCATCACTACTACTTTCTTCGAATGTACAATCTACGACAGACTGCGGCCGTTATGTGTGGAAGTAAACCCTTGCGGCCGCCATCTTTACATTTCAGATGGAAGCAAGGGAAACGTAAGTCGTCACTTATCCTGTGCAGTAGGTAATATAAATTGGTGGTCTAATCTATATATACAAGCTATATTGATTGCTGTAGTACAATAAACTATGTACAGATATTATAAGCACAGTTTCTGTCGTTTACTGTTTGAAATGAATGAAAATGTTCTAATCTGTCCACGGAAATATACTAGATACATATAGGCAAGAGTCTACAGCAGTCCAACTTTATTGCAAATTACAGATCAGGTGCTCATTTTACAAATTTCCATTTTGGCCCGTTGTCAACCTAAAATTGCTATCAAATTTGATAATAACAGTTCATATCACTCATCATATTTTTCGTTTATTGGCACACATGTACTCGTATGGCTAAAATATGATTCATGAGTTCGTGATCAAAAGACATACATGTACATATGGGTACTAGTATTCAAAACCTTCCCCTACCACCATACAACCAGGGGTGGTTGAAGATCTTAAGCAGCCTGACCAGATGTAGGCATGCACACGTATTTTTCTATAAAATAAAATTTGTTGAGTTGAACACGTCCCGATAACTGCTGATCTTCTCCCGAACACCAGCCAACTATGGCCGACCCTGCTTCCGACCTGCTCCTAACCACTCACATGGTTTGGGGTGAGTTCGGTAGTGTTCTGGAGGCCATATTCGGCTATATGTGAAGGCAGCTATACATCGCAACAGCGACGACACTCGATCAGATTATGAAATGCACTTTTATGGGGATGACGATACACCGAACGATACACGATAGCAATGCAAATGTCTTCGATCGTGTTGCTTTGCTTAAAAACAATGAGACCTAGAATAACATTATTCCAAGCAATGGCGAACTCTACTAACTGTAATGGATGCACCGCACAGGAATAACGGAAAATCAATAAAATCAACGGTCAGCCTAGAGTCGGCAATACTAATGAAATAAAAGAAATTGTCCCTCGAGGAATTAGTTATATCGTTGCTATCAGAGATTATATTTAATTTTGTAATTTGACACTTCAAGTTGACATAGTTGAATTTGTTTTTTAAATCTTGTTGTGAGGCATGTAGTCTCTTTATTGTAGTATTTGACGGCAATCAAAATCTTAATGAAAATATGCCATATGTCGTTACGTTAAGAAATTAATAAACGTTAACGAAACAATCCACCAAGTTCAGAAAGTAAGACGTATGTGTTGGGGAGTATCTAAAGAACAGTTTACATTAGCTTTCTTTGAAACAGTTTGTGTGTATGTCGTTAGGAGGCGTCTACTCCATAGACATGTCACGATGGCGTAAAATGCTGGACCAGCTACGTTACATTATAGTGTGCGGGTTTTATGTTTGAAATACACATTGGGAGTTTGAAAGCATTCATTCACTCAGTTAGTGTAAGGTTTAATTTAGTGTAAGGCAAAATTAATAAACGAATAACTTTACCAATATACGCAATTCATACAGTTTATCATGATATCACTGACGACATAAAAAAAACACCGGAATTCAGGCATTTCAGCATACATCGTTTAGTGTTTTAGACTTATTCAGTGACAATAACAATAGGCCGAGGATATACAGTGACATTTGTTGACTGTACATCTAGGTCGATAGTGCACGGATACCACTACATATCTGAAATGAATAACTCATGAATAAATTCTATCTTTCAAATAAGTAGGTTACATAACGCCCTCAGGCCGTGGATAAATTGGCAATAGATAATTCATAACAGTAGTCACACCACACGACATGACTACCAGGGTCGATTGACGTTTTCCCAGTAACATTCCTGTAAAAATTAAAATCACTTCTTCAAAAGTTCGACTGAGTTTCACCTTGCTTCGGGGTATGACATCGCGATCGAGAACGTGACGTGTTTCCTAACATGAGACATGCTTCTCCATGTTCTGTAAAGTGCGGAACAAAAACGTTCCAGCACAGACACACTCAATGGGCTCCCCTACGGTGGAGTAGCCAAGCCTTTCAAAGAAGTGCACCGCCTTCGCCGCGCTCTCGACTCGGATTGGCCGAGGAAGGGACGAGGTCATCGCCCTTTCTATGTGCTCTGTCATCAGACGCCCGTAACCCATCTGCTGAAAGTCCCTCTTCACGAAGAGAAAGGTAAGTTTATGGTAATGTCGTGAACGGAAGTTTGGGCTGGGGTGGTTGTCTTCTGGTAAGGCCGGTAAGACGCTAGCTACTGCAATAGGCTGGTTGAAGTGTGGCTGTCCGTGTGGATGTGAGTGTTGCTGGTACCCGAAGAAGACGCGGTTGTCTTCGCCTGGAGAGAAGTTCTCACCACATGTGTCCCGCGATACTTGAACGAAAGTCCGTCTGTTCCTGTTATTCCTCTCAACCTCCTTGATAACGAGCTGAGGTACATTGGATGCCTGCATGGTCAGCATTACATCACTGGTTTCTGCACACAGTTGTTATTACATGACGCTGCAACCTAGAAGCACACAACAATAATTTCAGAACTTCTTACCACAACCTTCGTGGCCACACAGGGTGAGTTGTATGCCCAGAAAGGAAATGCTTGTGGATCCGGATGAAAGCAATTAATCTTAATGTTTATATCAGATTAGAAATTAGGGCTTATCTAAAGCGGCTTGGAGGATTACGATTACGTATATGAGATGCTGATTGAAAAAAAAAGTGATCAGTTTCAAGGACGAACGGCGTGTCTTGATTTTCAAATCAACTAGCCTCATGTGATCGTGAAGACTTCTAGCGTGGCAGCGTTTGTTTCTACGAGCGGCTAGAGCGGCAGTTTCTTTTCCGGGTGAGGGCCGTAGTCGGGGGAGAGCTGTATCCGCGGAAAGAGCTTATCGAGCGCGCTTGTTGGAGAGCCGGCTCTCCCTCCGCGGCATAACTCCCTCTGCCGCATTCAAGAACCTTTTCCCGAG